AATTTCTAGGGATGTTCTTATGTTTTATAAAATTAATTTAATTGGTATCAAATGCATTGAATATCTTTTTCATAATCGAAGTTCTAATAGTTCCTATAGGGGATAAATTTTTTAATTATTTGTCTTTTGTTACGCTAAAGAAGTTTATCTTTTAAGTGCGTACACGCACTTTTTTTATTGCAATTATACTTCATTTGTTGTGTTTAGAAAAAAATAAGAGAGTAAAATTTTTAAAATGCGCGCCCACACCGACAGCTCAAAAACGACATGATGAAGTTGGGTTACAAAGCTACCAACTTCAAGTTACTACCAAGACAAGCAATAATAACCTTTTGACATTTAACTATTATCCCAAGTTTAATAACTTGGGATAATAGTTAACTAAGGTAATAGGTTTAAACCTTTATCAATTGCATTTAATGTCTTTTTCACAAACAAGGACTGGCACAGAGGATAAAATTTTCTTGTTACGCTGAAGAAGTATAACTTCTTATATGCATACATATTATGTGCACACTCGTATCATTTTATACATTTGTATTTTATACAAACGTATCGTTCATATATATCGTATACTGACTATATATTTATAAACTTAACCAATTAATGGTAAAATGAAATGGTTTTCTCTATTTGTAATGAGTCCAATAATCAAATGTACGATTTATTTTAATTTAAATAATAATAATTATACATGACGTAACAAAACAGAAGTTTCATTTCGATAAACAAGCACACGCTCAGCCCTAGTCAGCACTCTTTGTGATTGAGTGTGCTCTGCCGGTTGGCAATCCATTGTTGCCGTATATATTATTTTAGAAAACTGTGTCGATTTGTTTTAAATTTAATATCTATTAACAAAATAACGAACTTTTTAATTGTGGTGCTTTAGAACTTCCTGAATTTATTTTCAAACAAACAAAAATGTCTGTAATGGGCAAAGCTGTTATTCCAAAGTTATCAAGCCGGAATTTTGTTAAATTAGGCGCCGCGTTGCGAAGTGTGAAGCCCAACAGGAACTATTTTACATATACTCAAGAACTATCCCAGCCGTTGGACCGAAAACCGGAGTACGTCACTGCTCAAGAGGTGTTTCAGAAATGCTTAAAGTCTGGTAAGAATTTCCACATTTCATAAATGTCATTGCCCTTCTACGTTTTATTATCGGTCGACTTTACTATTGAACATAGGGGCATGCGATTTGTGCTGCTTTGTATTAAATTTGTATGGTCATAAATTATTACAATGGTACAAATATTAATTATCGTTAGTTCATTCGAAGAACCAATTTAACATCACACGGATACGTATTTAACAATCTTTTCCGCTATAGACTTCAAAAAGTGGTTTCACATTATTCTTCAAAACGTTAATATATGTAACATTTCATATCAGATTATCTAACATGGATTAAATTTGTAGAGGTTGCCAGCGAGCTGATGGTTCACCTAATTTTATGTGATAACCACCGCCCATTGACATTTGCAATACCCATAGGGTAGCGGATGTGTTGCCATATAATAAAATGGGCCTGACAACCTCACTCAACAGACAATACACAGAAGTACCTATAACACTTTCACTTCACGACAATCTTCTGTGAGGTAGTGCTACTTACCTGAACACACCTGCCCATCTGTGTGATAGCTAAGAATTTTGCACACAGTGTTTATATTTATTTCCCGTAACTTTAAGTGTATTGTATTCAAACACATAGTTTGAAGATTATAGTTTCATCAGTACACAAAAAGTCTCCAGTATGATGAATCCATTAATTTCTGATAGAAAAATCTACTATTTCTTAGTGTTATTGCAACCAATTTGATTATTCAACATTGGTAAAATTCAAGTAAAGATATGCCAACATAGATAATTTGAAATTAATGTTAATTATTTTTTGTATGACAAAAAATATCCACATGTCATTTGGATGTAATACATGGTCTTGTTTTACAACACATAATCATCTTGTATACATTTTTTTTATGATAGGCTGCCTGCCTGACGTCAAATCTCCTTGGTAAACAAACATCCAGATCAGGAACAATTGAATCTGTGGGTCACACAAATACTTGTCCTGTGTGGGACACACAACCCCTGATGCCAAAGCCAATAGCTTAGCAACGGAGCCACCTTGTGGTCTCATTTAAATCTTTAGTTATGCAAATTCATGTTCTTCTTCTTTGATTAATGGCCTCTCTATGCAAATTCAATAAAAACATGTATTTTTCAATCTACTTTTGAACAATGAAAAACATATAGTTGTGTTTACATTATTTATTTAAATTGGTATTCAGTGATTATTTTGCAGAATGGTTTTACATGATTACCACTTACAAGAATTGTTGCCCATTAATAGAACTTATAAAAAAGCTAATGAATTAAACATGGTTGTTGTTGAGGTGGATTTAAATTATCTAATGTTTTAACTATATGATATGTTTTTAAAGTATGTGATATTATTGTAGAATTAAGGTATTTTATTATCAAGATTGAGTTTTATTAAAAGGTCTGATGTACATTACATATGATTGTCTATAGAAATGGTACTTTGTAGAAATCTGTTGAATTAAATAAATACTTAAAGACCTTAAAATCCCAAATTGATCTTGGTAATTTTTAAGTAAACAAACAATGGCGTAGTTAGTTTTTCCTTATTTCTAAGAAAGAAAATCATTCATGGGACAAAGTGTGTGCATGTATAATAAATTTCCACATTCAATATTAAGTCTGTCACTTGATCAATTTAAACGCAAAATTAAAAGTGAACTTATGGCTAAGGCATATTATACCATTGCTTATGCTTATTATGACGCCAATGAGTGGGGTTGGTACTGTTTATACTCACATAGGCTAAAATAAGACTTATATCTGTCCCATTATATTGAAAACTAATCGTTTAAAAAAGAGCAACTGCTGACTTTCTTGCCGGTTCTTGACAGAAACAGCTTTCCGAACTGTTCGCAACTTACTTACGAACATATTAATTTTTATGTAAAATTTTGAGGTTTCATAAGAATAAAGATATTTTGAATTTGAATTAAAAAAAAAAACGGCTGTGGGTATCACATATAGCGGGAACCGAACCCACGACTCCCGGCGCCAAAGCCAATACCTGGACAACTGCGCCACGGTGTCACCAAATAAGCAAAAACATGGGTTAGGTTGCTAACCAAATGCAGAATTTTTTAAAATCTGGTCGTAAATTACTGAGATAATAAACATGAGAAAATACAACCGAACAGGGAATGCCCTCATTTTTTGAAGTCTTTAGAATTTGGTTTTTATTGAGTCAGCTTAAGAAACTCTAAAATGACATAAAATAAACTAACGATATTTGTTGAAAGATATATGTTTTAGCAGGTAGTTCACAATATATATTTCATTTTCTTTTTTAATATTAGCTAGTCCGTGTCGTGCACTTATATAATGACAATATATCAACTGATGACCTTAGTTACGTTTTTGACTTTTTTTATCATATACCATCTGTTTCCAACACTCGAAAATGTCGAACTTGTTTTATGAGTGGCGACTATCGCTGTATTCGACGCGATATGATATCTGTATTATGTTGTCATTTGAAAGATATGAAACTAACGCCCGGTTTCTGTAACACCTTAGACTAGACTGTAGAAATTAATTTCTAAGATGATCAGTGTTATAGAAACCGGGCATGAATATGACGTTTTACACGTGAATTGATGTAAATAAAGTAACAAATTATGAAAAAAACATGTTTTTAACTTTATTAACAATACATAACTATATTTGACATGTTACACACTTCATTCGCGAATGAATATCATTAAAAACCGGAAAAGTGCGAGTCTATCTATAAAACGGTAAAAAAGTCACGTCTGTTTTATGGGGGCCCTTAAATATTTTTTTATAGTATTTGTTGTTATAGCGGCAACAGAAATACATTATCTGGGAAAATTTCCACAGTCTAACTATCACGGATCATGAGGTAAAGCCCGATGACAGACGGAAAGACAGACAGACAGCGGAGTCGTAGGTAATAGTCGTAGGGTTCCGTTTTACCCTTTGAGTAGCACAGAACCGATCGAACGATAAAAAAACGAACACCAGTATCCCGATTTTGACCAAGTCCCGTCCATTTCACGGGCTTATGCAACCACAAAGCTTCACTTATTTTATGTTATGTTTTCATTTATGTATTTTAATTTGTACAATATCATTTTATTTCCTGTGTAATTCCATAATTTTTTGTGTTACGTGTTTTTTGCTTTGGGATTCAAGACATACTTAAAGGCAAGAAACTTGTCCCAGAACTGTAAAATATTCAGCAATGACATTGTTATAAGGAAAAAACACTCTTTTAAATGTTAAGACGTGAGAAGAAACGCACTAACAACCTTCGCATTTGTGTATAATAGTAACGTGAGCATATCACGGTTTTATGGCACTGAGTTCACAGTTCTACAATTTGTTTAAAATAATTAGCCTCGAAGTAGTAACATCCAATGTATTAAGGCAGCATAAGTGCTAGAGTAAACAAGCATAACAGTTTAATCTCTCGGTATCTTTTGAGTATTAACGGGTAAAATAATAAACCGAATCAATTGCGATTAATTAGACTGGTGTTATAATTTGATGCTATTAACTAAGTTATAATATAATCTGTTTAGGTTTCACTACGTAAACATTACGCATGACGAGATATATTACATTGATGTACATAATTGTTTATAGATAATTGTATCGCGAGTTGGAGTCGTAGTGATATGCCCCATTGAGATTATGCACTTCTATAATCTATCGATATCTATGATTCAAAATTGCTGTATTACATTTCTGCATGGTATACGGCACCGGATGTTTGTGTCATAAATGATTATAAAGCTGAACCGAGGCTTGTTATAAATATTTATAAATGAAATGCTTTCAATTCCGATAGGCTTTATAAACAACTAAAGAGTTAAATAAAAACAAGTTATATTTACATTGCACTAGTGAGAAATTATATATGCGTTTTAAACTAAACTGCTGTTTAACCACGTGTGAGGGTCGACGTCGTAATCGAAGTCGATGACCTTGCTCCTCGCAATCTCTTTGTACACGAGTGCCGATTTCCTCGCCACCCTTCTCCTGTCCGGGTCCTCCATGTCCGTCTCGTACAGGCCGAATTTTAGCCTGCAAGAAAGTTGCTAGCTATAAACATACATCTGAGCATACGTAGGGACAGACAGACAGCGGGACGATTTTGTATTATACCATGTAGATACTCGAGCAACCTGACTTCAATCCCCTGTGCCTGCACCAATGAAATTGCTAATTTTAAGTGCCGACTAATCACTTGCTAAGCGGTGAAGGAAAACATCGTGGCTGCCTGGTGAACTATGCCCTAATGCCCTCTCTACAGAGGGGCCTTTGAGCATTGGAAATTTATATGGGCTGTTACTTTTAGATTAGACGTAAGAGTCGTGACGTGTGATGGGTTTTCACTCTGGTAGGGCCATGCAACAGCTTCAGCAGTTGCACGAATGGGCAGGCTCGTCCGTGGAAGTACTCACAGAAGACCGGCGTAAAGTGGAAGTATAATAAATACTTCGCGTTTCGTCTGGCGAGAGAGGTAGCCGGAGCCCAATTTTGAAAAGGTTGTCTTTGTTGAGGTTGGTTTTGTTGAACATCAGGTGAACAGCCTGCTCGCTTGGCAACTTTTCACATAAAAATAAAGTACCATATAAGACCGGCGCGAAGAGGAATTGTTAAACTTTAGCGTTTCGTCTGGTAAGTGAGGTAACCGGGGCCACTTTTTTGAAGGTTATCAACGCATCTGCAAGTCATCGGGTGTTGTAGATGTCTATGGGCGGCATTATTCACCTAACATCAGGTGAACCGTCTGTTCGCTTGACAACTTTTCACATTAAAAAAAAAACTTGCAGATGGGAGACTATTTTAAAAGGGCAAACCAACAAACTTTTCCCCTGTGAACTGGGCCGTCTATCGACATCCGAAATATTTACAACGTAACAAAAAAAGTGTGAAGCCGGCAACAGATATAAACAGACACAAAAGTAGAAGATGAAAAACATAAAAAGAACAAATAATCAACGTATAATTTTATAAGGGTACAAGAAACTACATTTCTTTAAATACTTGCACACTGTGCATTGACAGTAATAAACCACACAGTTTTACGTCCGCCTCCTTCGTTCTCTATCGTCGTACTTCCCTTAACGAGCCGGCACATTTGCGTGGCAACATTTTGCCAACTGCACCACAAAGCAAGGATTAAATTGAATATAGAATTTGCCATTGAATATATTTGTATCAACTCACGTATTGCCGAAGTTCCACTCGAAGGTATCCATCAAACTCCAAGCGAAGTATCCCTTTATATTGGCACCTCCCTCTATCGCTTCGAGCAGAGCACTCAGGTAGTTCCTGTAGTAGCGCACCTTCACGTCGTCCACTAGACCCGTCTGGGTGACAGAACACCCATTCTCCGTAACGTAAACCTTCGGATTGTTGTAGGCGGCCTTCACGTGCATGAGGAGACTGTAGAAGCCGGGAGCGTATTCCTGGAAGGGGAATTTTTGATCATGTGCCTTGGTAGATAGCAATGAGTGGCAGATTTCGGCTTAGTTAATGAAAGAACCTTTGTCGAGGAATCGTTCTAGGATCACGAAATTTCGGGGCAGGCCCTGATAAAGTTGAGTGGTCTAGATTTGGCGATCATGGTTTGGCGGAACGATCAGCGCCATAGAATGACGTAGTCAGATGTATGAAAAAAAAAGCTGCCCGTGGGAATATTAGGAGAGCTTAAGTCTTTTTGTAAAATAATAGTACATTCAGAGGCAAATAGGCTTACATGGTTATATCATGGATGTGTAAGAAATTATCTTTGCGCTATTTCGATTCTTTTTACACTATTCATATCAATTTATTTATGCACTGTGCACATAAATTCCGTCAATATGTAGCATGGTCACATTGTGGACTAGGCTCTAATACAGAGGAGACCTTTGCCCAGCAGTGGGACAGGCAGGTATATAGGCTTTTAGTTTATAGTTTTTAAATTTATATCAGTCGTGGGTTCTATTGCCTTTCCTAAAAATCTTCAATTTGGTCGTTGTACGTTTGCTCTCCACCCATTGGAGTACCATTAAACCCACTCTAATAAGTTTTTCTTTTAGATACTTACGTAAATATATCCACCGGGGAGCGGCCAAGACGGGTCATAATATTCTCCATAATAAGCATCATCAAGCACCGACGGCTCATTTCGCATCACTAAAGACTCGTTCCGGTAAATGATCTTGCTAGTGTAGTGGTTAAGTCCTAGGAAATCGGCCGAGCCTTTAAGGTAGTCTACTTCCTCATCAGTTAGTGGACGGAGTCTAGAAGCACTGTAACCTTGCTCTTTGCTGACGGCCGCCACGCGGTCTATCACCCTCTGCGGATAGTTACCACTCTCTGAGAATATGGGGTCCATGTAGTGGCCGAGCTGTAGAAGTATAAAAACAAGGTTTCGTTAATATTGGCACAAAAGGTCCAACGGCACTTGTATCATCAATAGAACATAGAATCATTAGAGAAATTAATTATTATAAGAAAGAGGAATAGAATTTAAAGTGATAATTCCCAAACCAACATCTGAAATAAATAAAATAATTGAAAACTTAACCCAGGAGACAGTTAAAAAAAAAAACTCACTCCAAAATGTGAATTCCCATACTAACATCTATCACAAATAAATTAATTAAAAACTTAACCCATGTGAGAATTGCTAAATAGGAGCATAAGAAAGGCGTGATATTCAGACAGAAAGATAGATATATATAAATAATAGCCTATGTTTTATAATAATATATAAGCTATATTATGGTGAAGTTTGATTAAAATCCATTCAGTAGTATTTGCGTGAAAGAGTAACAAACATCCATCATACATACAAACTTTAGCGTTTATGATATTAGTAAGAATAGTTACTCACGCCAAACGCGATGTAGTCCTTGACGGCGCTGTTGTTTTCCTCCGTGTCGCTCTCCGCTATAGGCCAGTCCATGCTCAGCACGATGCCCACTTCGCCGCCCTGCGACGCCCTGAACTCTTCGTCGTATAAGCGGTACGCCCTCGCGTGTGCCAACAGCATGTTCCTCGCGCACTCGTAATAGCCCAAGCCCGGAGATTCTATCTGCGGCGCGTGCAACGCCGAACCGTACCCCAAGTAGCAGTGGACGTACGGCTCGTTGACGGTGAACCATTTCTTCACCCTGTCGCCGAAGTTCTCATACAGGATCCGGGCGTAGTCGGCCATCCATTCGACAACGCTCTCGTTCAGCCAGCCACCCCTCTCGCTCAGGCTCTGCGGCAGATCCCAGTGGTAGATGGTGACGAACGGCGTGATACCGTTCGCGAGCAGCTCGTCGATTACCGCGTTGTAATGGGCCACGCCGAGCGGGTTCACGTAGCTGGTGTCGCCGTTCGGCAGGATCCTCGTCCAGGAGATGGACATCCTGTAGTTAACGACGCCGAGCTCTTTCAGCATCTCGATGTCCCGTCTGTACAGGTAGTAGGAGTTGGCCGTGACATCGCCGGTCGTGTTGTCGAATATCGATTCAGGCGTTGTGCGCACAAGATGGTCCCACATCGAGAGACCTTTACCTGTTAAACGATGTTCAATTGTAAGATGTGAACGGACACGTGATAAAGAAGAAACCAAGAAACCCGTTAAGGCTCCGGCCTGACGTTACAAGGCTGGTAATTGACAATTAATTAGATTTTTTACAAATGTTTTTCAAGTATACACGCGACAATCTGCAAATTAGAAATATAAATCATACTTTACGTTTTGTTTAGTTTTTTTTTTTTTTGAAAAGGTGCCATTTTATGAATTTTTACTTAGAATTTTACACAACTCAGATGGCGAATACCTCGAGCCGTTGTTTCGGAGTCCCCTTCTTCATTTTAGTTTATACTTTGAAGAAATTGCTGTGGATCACTACTATATTTGTAACAGGAAATTGAATAATTGAAAATCTATCCCCATATTATTCAAAAATTTCAATAATGTCTGCACCTATTTGCCATGTTAATTTGCTACGTTCTATCAGAATTGACGGTTTCGTAACCAATCGACATTCTGCTAATTTAGTTTCAGGGTCATATGATTGCCATCCGAGTTGATAATTGTTTAATAACGTAGTTTATAACATTGTTTAATAAATAGTAGTTGCCTTTAGATGGATACAATTGAGAAAGCAGCCAATATTAGGTACATTATCTCTGAATAAGTAAAATCTCAGCAAAGAAGACCTGAAGGGCGCACTTTTAACCTTAACAAGTGTGAATGTGATAGCTAGAAGTGAAACACTAGCTCCATAGTTGATTTTGAATTATAAGTTCTGCGAGCCGTGATAGCTCAGTGTCCGGGCGCTCGCTTTAAATTCAATATACACGAGCAACCTGAATACAAATCCCGGTGCCAGCATCAACGAAATAGTTATTTTTAAGTGCTGAATTATCATATGCTGTAAGGGACCAACCTGTGTATCGAGAAGGCCCTTGCCGAGCAGTGGTACTTGTATCGTCTGCTAAAGTTTTCCCTTTTATTTTAAAAGCTGCGACGTGGTACAAAGCCAGTGGTTAAATAAGATCGTCGTTATGGATGCTCACCATCTACGTTCCAAGCGCCCTCCGCTTGGTAAGCGGACGTCGCTGTTCCGAACTCAAAGTCTTCGGGGAAGCTACTCAAACGCCGGTTCGGCTTGCCCTCCGACGTCGAGAAGAGTAAGATGCTGTAAGGCAATAACACTCATTTCAGTTTTACGCAAGTGTTATTTTAGTACACGTATTTCGGTGTAACACATTGGAAGGTTGTTTATCGTAGCCCACGCAACAACTTCAGCTGTTAAACGCTGTTGCATTGTTTCATAATCTTAATCACTACATAGTATAAAACAAAGGCGTCCCGCTGTCTTTCTGTCCCTATGTATGCTTAGATCTTTAAAACTACGCAACGGATCTTAATGCGTTTTTTTTTTATTACTAGATAGAGTGATTCAAGAGGAAGGTTTATAAGTATAATACATTGCACCCGTGCGAGGGGCGGGTCGCTAGTAAGATATAGTTCTTCTCCGCGTGTGTGTCACTGAACTCCGGAATGGCTTGACCGATTTGAATGAAATTATTTGTGTGAGTTCAAGTGGATTCAAGGATAGATTCAAAATTCAGGGATTATTATTTAAGATCTGTGTACAGGACGACGTCTGTCGGGTCCCCTAGTAACATGTATAATATATGCAAAGAGAAATGTTGCATCAATTGAATGACATAGAAATAATACACGAACGGCTTTTGGAAGACAGTATTTTATAACGGCCAGGTCTGAAAGTGAGTTCAAAGAGTTCAAATAGTCCGAACTATCAATAAAGTATTTTATTCGTAAATTTCTGGTTATAAATATGTCACCATTTGGTAAATAAATAAAACTAACAAAACCCCGAAGCAATGCATGCGGCTGCAATAGTAGAATGTTTTAATAAAGTCATCATTAATCCAAAATTTCCTTCACCTTATCCAAGATACATGAACTTTTATGTTTTAATAATTAAACTGGCAACCCCTCATTTGGACTAGATTTGAATGTGGGTCATCGCCCTCCCCCGACTATCGAGGTGTAGCGCGTCGGTTCCGCCCGTGCGGGTCTTTAGTTTATGAAGATCGGGTTTTTATTTTCTTCTTTTTCAACCGACTTCGAAAAAGGGGGAGGTTCTCAATTTGTTTTTTTTTTTTTTGTTTGACACCTCGGAAGTTTTCATGAAGCGATTTCTAAAATTATTTTTGCTGTCATTTCGGTTTAGATCCCATGTGGTCCCATATTAATTCTCCGGAAAGACACCAGGGAACTCCTCAAAATCAAATAGAATGATTACAGTGAGCAAGATATTGGAAGTCGGCATAGTTTTTTGTTAATAAAAATACACTTCCTCCCCTCCTCCCCATCAATATAATAAAAATTCGCTTGTTATAAATAAAATTTTGTATGTCCTCTATACGCTACTGAATCATTCGTGCGATTGTGATGGTACATTGCGAGTTACTCTGCCCCGAGCGTTTCTGGATCCAAATAAATGAAGAGATTTACGCGCGTGAGGATATTTACCCCTTAGCTTAGTGATTAAAGTGCATGGGCACGTTGCCTGGCAGACGCAGGTTGAGATCCTGGCGGTGGCCAACAACTTTCGACTGTTGATCTACCCATTCTTAAATGAATCTTTGTATGGTAGTCCTCCATACAAATTTCGAAAAAATATGTTATGAAGAGATTGCAACGCTAGCCGGGCGTTATAAAAAGGTGCGTATATAAACAGATTCGTTTTAAATATAGTAAGCCATTATATTATTCCATTGATAACACGGAAACAACATTCCAATATTTCTCTTTGATTTTCCGTATGAAGATATGTGAACTTGTCATTTCTAACAACGACGCTTGCCGCACCTGCCACATTTGGACTAGATTTGGTTATGGGTCATCGCCTCTCCCGGTCTTATGAGCTCTTTCGTTATGAATATAATATTCAAGTAATATTAACGATATTAACAGATTCATTTGGAAAATAAAAAAGTACGCGCGTAGTAAATTACACTTCTTTCGCGTAACAAAAAAAAAGTAACTAAAAACTTTAAACTTCCCCCGTGCCAGTACTCTTTGTTTGTGAAAAATATATTAAACGCAATTAATAACGGGTTAACTTAATGGAATTATAGGTAAATGTTAAAAAAGTTGTTATTGGTTGCCAATGGGCATTTGCAACACCCTTAAATTTGTAGCCTTTAAGTTTAACACTTTCACTTCACGCCGGTATTCTGTGAAGTCGTGGTACTCCCCTGGCGGATCTGCCCATTCCTGCAACAACGAAGACTAGTGCGTGGCCCTACCACAGTAAACAGTCCTGTGCTAGAGCCATTCCTTTGTTTTTACTGTGGCACGAGTAGGCAGGCCCGTCTGAACAAGAACCACAGTCTTACCGGAAACCGACTAATAATGGATATAATCAATAAATTATAATATAATATATAAGATCTAAGCAATCGTCTAGCGAGTGGGGCATTAGGTATCCACATTGTAAGTTTGATTTCGCAGCTGCAATTTCAGGGATGCTTTAGATGTTCATGGGCCTTTTAGATTTATTCGTGTTTAATTTAATTGTTAACTCATACAACACCCGTAGATACAATTACACGCGGTATATGTTAGTAAAAACACATTCATTTAGCCAATTCTCTGTGCAACTTGTGAACACTTCAAAAATATGCTAAAACTAACATCGAACTAGCAACGTCTATACGGACATATTTTAACGACGCCATGAAAACATTTATGGTTTATTTGTTACTATTTAGAATTGGGCTTAAAACTAACATCACTCCTAGAAGTGGTATAACCTCAAAGTGAAACACAAGACAGCTATATTTAATCATAAGTGTAGCTGTAGTCTTTAAGGAAGAGAAAATTTAGCAATTCCTTATATGATAAATAAAGATTGTATATTTATACTAAAATCGACACTCCATGTGAGTGTGAGTTTGTCTGTTTTTACGAAATTAATCACTTACCTAAGCAGAACTAAGAAAGCTGACCCACCCATCCTGGTATTTGGTTCTACGTTGCTTGTGAAACTCATCGCCTTACTTTATATAGTGCACGTTTAGATTTTTTATCTACGTATTACACCCATAGATATCAGTTTTAAAGTTAGGGCCGTCGATTCATAGATTTCTGGTGACTATCAACGTATAACCGTGTATGCGTTTAAATTTGAACACACGAGAGTACATGGTTCTATGACATTTCTCTGTCCGTATTCCAAAAATCAGACTATACTGAGAGTGGGGCCCGTTTTCTAAGTTTATATTGTAATTTATAATCGAAGTGTTTTTTTTTTTTTCGTATTTCTTTTAAAAGAGTGTTCAGCTTTTCAAATCGATCGACGGGACAAGGCAACAGTTTATACAACCTATCATTGACGTGGCTTGATTGGTTTCGAAGTCGAAGACTACTCTTGTAATGCTTGTCTAAAGTTCTCATGAACGACAAAACTGCTTCACTAATATGATCCGTCAGTTAGTAATAGTTATATTACTAACTGACTAGTTATAGCAATAGTGGATTGGTAGTTGTGTTAAATTGTTGAAAAACTGTAAGAAACTGCGATCTTGCTTGCAATATATGTTTTTCAATACTTGCCTAGCAAAAGAACTTAGGCGTTAAATCCGATTGCTGGGCTAGAGTCATTTCAATATTTATAATATGTTTCTCACTTTATTGTACGAGCGTGTTCAAGCAATTTTAACTGCTGAATTATCACGTGAATATTTGGATCTCCATTAGGTTTGTTTTAATTAGTTTCGTAAAGTTGTATATATTCTTATTAATAACAAATAAGGGGTCCGATACTTTTTTCGTTTTGGACGGATTCTCGTAATACGATCCAACAGTGACCTTTTAGTATTATTACCGTATATTATGATATAATAATATTACTATGACTAATACAGCAACTGTTACAGCAGGCGAAAAGTATGTTTTTGTGAATATTTGAACTGTGCTTTGAACTCTACCTTAAGTCATAGGGATAGTCAAATCCTAAGACAATTTGATAACGTTTTGCGACCCCCACAAACAAATCGATCGGCGGCAACCCTAGACAATAACTAAAATGTAACAGTATGACTAATACTCAACTGAAAATATTGTTATCAGCGTCTAAAGATCTGTTTTCGTTTGAGTCAAATTGACTGCGCTCCGCGCTTACTGTGACGGAGATAGCGACAGTGATGAGAATGAAGGCTGATGGATTTTGAAGGTGAGTCATATGGCGTAAAAGAATTAATTAGAATTAATAATATATAACTAGATATTTTCGGACATATTTTTTACACAACGTTCTCTTGTCCCAAACTAATCAACGATTGTACTACGTTTTGTGTAGACAACTTATAAACATACTTTTCTTTGTAAGTAAATACATACTATACATATACAAGCACCCAGACACTGGAAAAACACATAATATTCTACCACTATTGGGGATCAAACCCACTAAAATAAATCTGTAAATATTGATGAACTTCTGAAGGTTGACCTGAGGAATGACAGAAACATATTGATAGAACGATTCCGCTGAACGAAATGGCTAACCATGCACCAGGAATAATATTGAAAAACTATAACATCGCCAAATAAAATGATAAATTTATAATAGACACTAATGTATTTTATGAGGAAAAAATTGATATGTTCTGCCGTCGGCGTTAAGCAGGGCGATCCGCTAGGACCGACATTATTTGGTTTTGGAATTCATCCAATTATTTCAAAATTAAATTCAATGCTCGTTGGTAGGTCAAGTGGACGACGTAAAAAGTGATTTCATATAAACTATTACACAAGTATCGGAAATTTTCTTTTCTCCAAAGACTTCCTTTTTCGATAAAATTATCTTAAAACATGTAGAAAAAAGTACGAAAAAATTGTCGACGCTGTGGGAATCGAGCCCACCACGTCTTCGGCATTCGCGGCCTGACGCTCTAGCCACTGAGCTAAACGGCTGATAGCCACAGCGACGAAAACCTTAACGCCTTCTTTCTACATGTTATTTAGCATTGATGCAATGCTTGGCGCCTCTATTGTATTGTCAATGTAGAAATAAGGCGTTAAGATACTTTTTCTACATGTTTTAATGTTCAATCTTAAGTGCAGAGATTAGCACTATAAAAATCTTTAAAATTTAAATTATCTTAAATCGAAATTTTTACGCTATCATAGCAAGCATTAAAGTAGTCCTCTCCGTTTCACTTTATGTCTTAGGAGCTTCTTTGTTAATGCCTAATTTAGAACTTCGTCTTGATTTTGATAACTTGGGAGATAGGCAAACTGCAATTTACAAATTGTATCATATCTCACATTTAACTGAGCTGGTTAGATTTTGAGTAAAATAATGGGAAAAAAATTAAATTATTTTGCTATAAATTTCATCTTTGACCTTAGGGTTCATTTTCGCGTGTTGCTATTGAACAGTGTTTACGACGTGGCAATTAGATGCAGTCATTTGCGACTTTACACAGCTGTGTCAAACGTAACTTGCTTGTTTATGTAAACTACGTCTTGACTTGATATCGGAGAGCCTTAATCGCTGCTGAGGTTCATTATACGATATAACGAATGAAAAATATCTTTATCAGGAGTTGAGTTCCACATTTGACGTAATAGGCCATTTGATTTGACGCTATCTTTAAAGTTCCTTACAGTCGTGGTAAATCAGTGTTCCCTTTAAATTTTTGTGTGTGAAGGTGACAAGAGAGCAGGTAGATAGCACCTGATGTTAAGTGATTACCGAACTTTTAATAGACTTGACTCCGGTCACCACAGAGAACAGAGTAGTATAATATTTCTAATAATCACGGTCCTTTCTACTTCTTCGTTGAAGCCGTGGTATTAGATTAACGAGCCCGCCCACCAACTTGGCGCTACCACAGACAAATTGTTGTACTTATTCTATAATTAAAATTAATCCTTTTTTGATCGGATCATTTTCAAGATCTTTAATCGTAGATTTTCCAGTAGTTGAATACAGCTGTTGCCTACCACGCTTACGTTCTCTACAAATAAACAATGACGTGAGTTTAAATCATCAACATTGTTGCCCCGCGCGTATCCATTGGCTGTGGTCTAAATATAGTTTCTTTCTACTTCATTTCTCATATTTTCTTCTGTTTCTCTTTACTTCCTTTATTGACAAAATGTCCAGGACTTGTACAACCATCCCAGCTGGTAGTGGTTTAGTCTCACGTGGTAAACATTTACGGATGGAAATGCTGAATCGTTTAATGTGTCATTATACGGCGCCATAATGCCTTTTTAGAAATGAAGACGATCGAGACATCGCTTGTTAGTATTGCATACAAAAGTGTACCGCAATATACAGGGACATACTTTTACGACTACGCCTATTATCGTAGGAATGTTACTGATATAATATGTAACACAAATAACAATATCGTTTGCGACAATTTTCATGAATGTCACATAACGTTTTGAGTTATGATTCATCAGATACGACAAGAGAAAAAGCACTATGTGAAATCTGATGTTCGAAATAAATAGATAAATGAACGTAATGTTTTTCAACTTAGATTCCCGATTTTTCGAAAACTTTGTAGGATTCGAAATAGTTTCTTGATCGCTAGTTTAATGCGAAGTTATGAAACAAAAAAAAGGATGTGTAATCTACGTTTCGGCTTTCTCTAAACATTTTGTAGAAAACATTTTTTGTTCGACCTTCAAGGTCATCCACTTACGCCATTATTATAACCAATATGTAAGTAAGTATCTTTATTTTATTTAATAATTTATGTACACAGTCTATACAAAAATAAAGGATTACAGACGTGATCAAATTTACGAAGTCCAAATATAAAGCGGGTCCAAATATAAACACAGGTTTTGCAAGCTTATTTAGAAGCTCCTCAGTAGTTCCAGGTAACAGATGTCAGCGTAATCTATGATGGTTTGAATGAGCATTTGGACCACAGAGATTTTGGTCTATAATGGCTATACGCCCTGAAGGCATTTCAGTGAATGAAAAGAATATTGAACTTTGTGACTAACTTCACACGCCACATCAGGAAAGATTAATTGTAATTATTCCCGAGATCCATATGGGTAAATATCGTATAACTTTACGGAGACTATGGTACAGAAATTGACCGAGTTTTATCTCCTGAAACTATAACAACATTTTTTGTGTCTAAATCAATTACTATGTCAACGATCAATTTGTTTGCATCACTTGTCTTGTAAATATATGGCTGACATCAACAGCTAATTTTACTCTCAACTTTTCGACAGGCGATTTTTATTTTTGTTATTATGTATACTAGCAATTTTCATGGGCAAATTTTTTCTCTCCCCCCGCTTCCCACGTCTTCAAGTTACCTGTTCAAGGACCCCACAGCCTTAAATACACCCAGGTGTCTTTGAAAGGTGTTATTCTATCTGTACTTGGGTGAAATTTAACGTATAAAATAAAAAAATATATTTTTTTATTTTATACTTTTTTACCACTTTATTAAAAGGTGGCAACGCATCAGCAGATCTACGGGTGTTGCAAATGTCCATGGGCGGCGCCATTCACTTAACATCAGCTCGTTTGCCACTTTCTCACTCTTCTTTTGGTGTCGGTGTCAATACCTATTCGCACGGTATCGGCCCAAAATTCAGCCACATGAGTTGTGGCTAAAATAAAATAATTCTTTATAGTTTTTTGTTTGAATAATAAAAAAAACTAGACCGTAAAAATAAGTAGATTTTGCAATTAATAAAAAGCATAACTTAAATCATATAAAAACATTCACACCAACAAAACAATTCGTAGTAAACCCACTCCCACTATAAACACGAGAAATCATTATCGCGTTATCACTTCGTGTTACCCAATGCTGTCAAATACCCGTTGTAGGGGTCGGGAGTCCGGACCGATCCAATTTATTATGCCCGGGTCATTTAATAGGTACGAGTTCCCCCCGAATTGGTTCGGAGGTCATTCTTGTTGCGTAACCTATTGCGTGTTATCGAAGCGAGTAAAATATGGAACACTACATTCCAATCGTTCCTCGTATTCAACCGACTGCTGAACATTCCAGATCTAACTTTAACTGACAAACTAGAATATTCAAATTAAAATCTAAATTTCAAATTCAAATAACTTTATTTAATATACAAGCATTACACTTACTTATTAATTGTCAAAACGCTACCACAGGTTCGGAAAAGAAAAGTCAATGACCTGAAGAGGGCCGGCGGTGCATTATTTTTTAACCATTATTTGACAAGACATGTTTACAAATGTATTGAAATCCCCTTGGATGAGTCTGGAGCGATCAATTAATTTCCAGGTTGTGTTGTCATTTAAATAATCACTAATATAACAAAAGCCAAATAGATACACATACATTTTGATGACTCCGTCGCGCTATCGCCTAGGTGTTGGCCTCGCCGTCGAGAGTCGTGGGTTCGATTCCCACACGGGACAACTATTTGTGTGACCCACAGATAGTTGTTTCGCATCTGGGTGTTTGTCCGCGAGAAAGTTATGTTTATAAAACGTTCTTACAACACAGGATAATGTTGTCCTAAAGTAAGGGCAAATGTTATTAAAAAAAAAAAAGAAAAAAAATCACCGGCACAAGAGAGACTACACTCTGGTTACAAGTAGCTTGTAAATAGAGATGCGACTCGACTAAGATTTTTCGAACTACTCTAGTACTTTTACAACTTTGGGAACAAATTCTTCAGATACTGAACAATTATCTGTGGATCACACCAATACTTGCCCCGTGTGGGAATCGAACCCACCATCGACGGTACCGATGCCAGTATTGTATTTGTATTTTGTGTGGAAGGGGTTTGGTAGTAAGTCCTAAATACTGCGACCTAGAAAGATTTATTGTAGTCGAATTTATTGTATTCGAAAACATTGCCCCCTTACTGTGGGATGACATTGTCCTGTGTTGTTCGGATGTTTCACATACATAGATTTGGACAAACACGAAACTATGGGTCACACAGATAGTTGTCTCGTTCGGAAATCCTATGACCTTGGGCGTTGAAGCCAACACTTTAGCTACTGCGCCACTTAATCATCACCGATGCCAGAGGATCGCAACTGCATTTTTTTATGTGAAAAGTTGCCATGGGAGCATGTGGTACACCTGATGTTAAGTGAATACCGCCGCCCATTGACACCTGTTACACCTGAGGGTTGCAGATGCAACCATTTGAAAATTGGGCTCCGGCTACCTCACTCACCAGACGAAACGCGAAAGTATTTTATTACACTTCCACTTCACGCCGGTCTTCTGTGAGGTTTTGGCACTTACCCGGATAAGCCTGCCCATTCGTTCAACAGCCGAGGCTGCTGCGTGGCCCTACCACAGTAAATCAGCACCACCCAGTTTCTTTGTTCGTTCAATTGGTAACAATAATCGAGCTGCGGCTATATTCGTTTCTCTCCCGCTATCATGTTGCTGTGACCTCAAGTGGGTTCGCGTGTTCCGTGCTACGCAGAGCGTGCCCTGACCCAGTTGCATTGGTACCGCGCATTGTATTGTCGATAAGGATAACAACTCATCTCTTACTGCTTGTTTTTTTATGTGACAAGTTACCAAGCGAGCAGACGGCTCACCTGATGTTAAGTGAATAGCACCGCCCATGGTCTGCTACACCAGAGGGTTCCAGATGCGTTGACAACCTTTTGAAAATTGGGCTTCGGCCACCTCACTGACCAGACCACAAAACAGTTGTAATATTGGTAATTATAATGCATACAACCTATTATATTGCAAGTTCGAAACCATTCGTTGTTTATCAAACGACCGCCATTTTGCCCGCTCTTTTTAACGCGGCTTCATTTTAAACTTTGGCGCTTTTGGTTTATGAATTTTTGTGGTTTGGTTGTCCTATCGCGGCCATAGATATTAAAAAGAGGTGAAAAATCGTAAGTAATCGTTAGATGTAATGAGTTTACCTATTCGCCCTAAAATAAGAGCTTCTAATGTTACTTCAATATGTATCGGTTAGCATTCAATTGATAGATACACGAGGTTGTTTGTACAAACTACTTAAATGAGCGCTAATAAATAGTTAATGACTAGTTTATCATGACGTTAGCGTTCCATTGGCCAATTTATAACAATTGTGTTCCTTATCAGTTACCAGCTGATTAAAAAAATACTATTAAAGCAATTCAAAAACCATCAAAACACAAATGAGAAACTCTTGTATTTGTAAATTGGAATTTAATATCGTAAAAAACTTTCATTTTAAATTCTTTTATAAATTTAAGAAGAAAATTCCCAAGTTGGCATCCGTGCCTTTAATCAGTTAAATTGACTGAACATGCTTATTCGAGCTTATCCGTCACGCGGTTATTCCATAATATAATGTAATAATTTAATAATTTTTATGGATTCCTCATATTTACGACAAAATTTCTCGGAGAAATCATCATACTCCACTTTCTCATTTGGTGTGGCTTTCGTGACAACTTTATCTTATCCAGATGGGGCAGGGATTATGTTTATATCGGCTGAGTCAGTTTCTAGGTATGCAATAGTTACATAAAATTGAATAAGTTCTTAAAGTAAGAAGTTTATCGAATTTGTAAGATAAAACACTGTTAAGACTGTATGGTATAATCTTTCTTAGCTATAAGCTATATTATGATTGATCAAAAAACGCATCGGATATGTACTTTTAAAAATATATTATAGTATCATACTCCTTTATATGTATATAAAAATTTAGATTCCATATTTTTGCGTCGACAAAAATTTGCCGATGGGTCGACTTGATATTTTGGACAATCGAGGATGTTTTGTAAGTTAAGTAAGTGACAGCAGGGCTCACTTACATGTTAGATCATTTCTCAAATGTGTTGTTTTCTCAATACGCAATGACTTGCACAAGTCTTCATAAAAATTATGAATAAAGCCACGGTTCTCATTAAAAAAAAACTGGTTTAAAACTTTAATGTATGATAACGCCATCTATTGACACATTGCTTAAACAAAAGAAAAAATTCGACCGAGAATAGTTACACTTTTACTCTTGTATCAGAGATACATTTCATTGTTAAATACTTCATTAACACATATTTTAATTACCATTTGCTTAATCACAACGTTACCGTGCGAAAATTTGGTACGGTTTAACTAGTTATGAAATAATAGAACGGCTGTCTACTTAATCAGTGTATAAGCCAACTAGTTTCAGAACTATCGGAGGTTAGTGGGATGCGTTCACGGCCCCATTCATAAATATATAACATTCCGGGCGCTCGCCTTTAATTCAATATACTCGAGCAACCTGAGTCCGATCCTCGGCGCCGGCACCAATGAAATTGTTAATTTTAAGTGCCGAATTATCACGTGCTCTGCGGTGAAGGAAAACATCGCGAAGAAACCTGCATATTTTCTAAATAATAACAAAAAAAATATATCGAAGATACGTGAAGTCCGCCAATCCGCAGTGGGGCCGCGTGGTGGACTATGCCCTGATACCCTCTGTACAGAGGAGGCCTTTGCCCAGTAGTGGGACACGTATAGACTGATACTTTACTTTTAAATATATCTAAATACGTATCATACTGGTTTAAGAAGTTAGAACCGTGGATTCCCTCGACTGACTTGACGCGAAACCATCTCACCAGGTCAGACGGTGTTCTCCCAGGGTGCGGCGGCCACCCCGGTGCCATTGCTGAACGCCATGACCGAGGTGGGCAAGTCTGCCAACCTTCGCGACATCAAGGTCGTGCACATGCATACGGAGAAGGAGGCGCCTTACGTTGCCCCTGAGTGCAAGGACATCTTCAGGTGGGTTCCTCTATTGTTTGTTGATGATATAACAAGTGAGAGCTTGAGACCATCATTACAATTTTTTGTACAAACTGAAGGACAATATAAATAGTTTTTGTTAGTGTGTTGTTTTATAGTGTTTGATCCTAGTGGTCGAGTACATTGGTTGCGATCCTTGTGAAGTGTCACGAAAGAGATCCTTGAGTACTTGGTATGATTTTTTTATGTGAGACGGTGGCAGTTCATCCGATGGCGAGTGATGACCGCCGCCCGTTGGCATTTGCAACACCAGTAGGTTTACGGATGCGTTGCCACCTTTGAATAATGTGGGTAACCACACTCACCGAACGAAACGCAGAAGTTAACAAATCCACTGTATTCTATGAGGTCGTAGTATTGCCCCGGGCTTTTTTTTAATGTGAGAAGTTCTCAAGCAGAGCTGGCGGTTCACCTGATGGTAAGTGGTAACCGTCGCGAACGGACATCAACACCCGTAGGGTCACAGATGCGTTATCTTTTAATAAAGTTACCTCACTCACAGATAACCGGCGTAAAGTGGAAGTATAATACTTTCGCGTTTCGTCTGGTGAGTGAGGTGGCCGGAGCCCAATTCTCAAAAAGTTACCAATGCGTCTGGAACCCTAGGGTGTAGCAGATGTCCATGGGCGGCGGTATTCACTTAACATCAGGTGAACCGTCTGCTCGCTTGACAACTTTCCACATATAAAAAAAACGAAACGCTGAAGTGTAACACATCCACATCACGCCGGTCTTCTGTGAGGTCGCGGTACTAACCCTACCCATACGTGCAACATCAGACTATCAGACTGGGGTTCGCATGATGATTGCGTCCATCAACCCCAAAGGCATGTGCAAATGATTAATACCCCAAACCCCCCCCCCCCCCCCCCCCCCCCCCCCCCCTTAATTTTTTTAAAACAAATCTATTATATATTTTTCTAACAAAATGCGTATCTATTGTTAGATTTAAAATCTTATATAATATTTTTCAAAACTTCGATCCATATCGATGTGAACACATTGAAATTCTAGCTAGCTCCCTAAAAATTATATTGTTTTAATTCAAGACAGAAAATTGAATTTAAAATAAAGTTAATTAAAATACGAAATTATATGCGATAAAATTATTCTAACTTGCACCCGGTGATTGTTAAACATTTTCGTAAAAATAAATTGTCATTTAGCATTTTGATTTGCGAAGCCGTTAATAACTCAGTGTTTAGGCGCTCGTTTTAATTCGTTACACTGGAGCAATCTGAGTTCAGATCCCGATGCCGACACAAATTAAGTATTAATTTTAAGTGCTGACTTATCACAAACAGACTGACTTATCATAAACGGTGAAGATAAATATATTGAAACCTGTATGTTTTTGAAATAATAATTTTAAAAAATGCCCTAATGAAGAGGGTATTACAGGAGCACAGCGGAGGCTTTTGCCCAGCAATGTGATATATAGGGTGTTAATTTAATTTACTTGATCCACACGTGGACAAATTCTTCACTTCACTTACGCCCGGTTTCTGAAACACTGACCATCGTAGAAGTTAACTAATCAGCTGTCAAATGGCTTTTCAAATGTTATTTAAGTTGTCAAAAGGATGGTTAAACTCCTTGAATTGATCATTCTGATAATTAAGAAGATCATTCTCAGTGTCCGGGAGCTCGCTTTTAATTAAATATACTCGAGCAACCTGAGGTCAAATCCTTGATAAACGGCTTGATAGATTTTTATGATATCTTATATGTATACTAGCTTCTGCCCGCACCTACGTCTGCGTAGAATAGGCTGAAGGCATAACATTCAGACAGAAAGACAGATATACATAAATAAAAATATGTATGAAAATTATAGACTATGTGTTATTCTGATGTATAAGCTATATTATTGTAAATTTTCATTAAAATCCATCCTGTAGAATTTGCGTGAAAGCGTAACAAACATCCATCCATACATACAAACTTTCGCCTTTACAATATTAGTAAGGAAGTAAGGATTTGCCGAGTCAGCTAGTTTTAATACATATAACATTTAAAGGTCCGTTTCGCTGTTCATGGCGGCCAACGTGCGCAAGTCCGTAGCCGAGGGCCGCTCCGACGCCATCCCGATCTTCCTGCAGGACATCCCCAAGCTGTTCCACAGGAAGATCATCCAGCCCGATATCGCTCTCATCCAGGTAAGTGCACTTTACCATTCAGTGGTAACAGGGATGCTATTTGGCTATGTCGCTACAACTTTATTTCAACTTTTTGGTAGGGCCACGCAACAGTGCGCTGTTGCACGGATGGGCGGGTCTGTCCGGGTAAGTACCACGACCACACGGAAGACCGGCGTGATGTGGAAATGCAATGCCTGGTTCCGTCTGGTGAGTACGGTAGCTGGATTAACAGGTGACGACGCATCTGCAATCGAAAGGGCGTTGCAAATGTCCATGGGCGGCGGCTATCACTTAACATCGGACCGCCAGCTCGCTTGCCGCCACCTCACATTAAAAAAGCTACTATATAGAAATTCATTCTCATAGTGTACATTCATTTTCATAGTGTTAGTCCCTGAACTTGATGAAACATATTTTTCTACACATTTTAACGATTAATTAAGGTTTTAATACAATAGATGGCGCCGTACGCCTAATAATAGTCGCGCTATTGTTGACTCGTCTATGAAATAGGATACTTTTATGATTAGTCTCAAGCTATTGAATATTAGCGGAAACGCTACGCAGCAACTTTTGCTGTTATACGAATGGTCAGGCTCGTCCGGGTAAGTAGCACCGGCCTATTATAGAAGGCCGACAGAGTGAGCAATGGAATGGTGTTTTAATTAAGATGACGCGTGTCCATACTGCGCGGCGATTAAAAATTGTTCCGCTTTGCAGGTCTCCCCACCCGACCAGCACGGGTACTGCAGCCTCGGCACGTCCGTGGACTGCGTGAGGGCCGGCCTGGTCAATTCGAAGGTCATTGTGGGTGCGTTGCAACTCTTCACCCTCTCGATGTGATAAATAGTTTAACTGTGGTAGCGCCACGCAGTCGCCTCGGCTGTTGCACGAATGGGCAGGCTCGTCCGGGTAAATACCACGACCTCACAGAAGACCGGCGTCAAGTGGAAGTATAATACTTTCGCGTTACGTCTGGCGAGTGAGGTGGCCGGAGCCCAATTTACAAAAGGTTGTCAACGCATCTGCAACCCTCGGGTGTGGCAGACGTCCATGGGCGGCGGTATTCACTTAACATCAGGTGAACCGCCTGCTCGCTTGGCAACTTTGCACATAAAAAAGTCAGTCTGGGGAAGTACCACGACTTCACAAATCGTGGTACTCATCGGGACCACTCTGGCAACAGCGGACGCCGTTGTGTGGCCCTACCGCAGTACAAATAATGCAACACTGACCGCTGCAAATGTAACTTCTTTTACAGATTTATCGCGTTTATTTTATATAACATAGTTAAACCTCATTAGCAACTATCTACATATATAAATTGTATCCACCAAACATTAACATATTAACATATAATATTTACAAGAATTAATCTATCTAAATTTATTTTTAAACTCGATTCCCGACGACACGTTATGTTCATGAACTCTGTGAAGGATTCGAAGCGTCGGGAATTAAAATAGCAATAAAAATGAACTCAATAGAGCCGTTAAAATCGTTTCATTCATAATCTGTTGTCGCGTAAATACAAGAAATGAAGCCTACTGCCGCCCCTCTCGAACGTTCCGCTGTTCTGTGGCCCTACCACAGCCGGTACAAATGACCTCTCAACCTCTCAACTTCCAGCGCAAGTGAACCCCCACATGCCGCGCACGTTCGGCGACGCCATCATCCACGTGTCGCACATCGACTACGCCGTGCGGGACTCGACGCCGCTGCCCGAGCACGGCTCCAAGGGGCCCGCCAGCCCCGAGGAGACCAAGATCGGCCAGCTCATCGGCGAGCACCTCGTCGAGGACGGGGCCACGCTGCAGATGGGTGAGCGGCGTCTACTGCACCGTCTATCCACGCCCCCCCGCCCCCGCACCCTCAGGCGAAACAAAACATTTTACCTATACCGTCTATTCCCTTCTAATTTTTTAGCTATTGTATCATCTATTCTCATTCTCACTCCCCAATCAAATTGAAATATATAAATAAATATTTTAGGACACATTTTTTTTTACACTTTAACACAACGCCCTCTAGTTGGCGTAGTCAAACTACGGGTACTACATACTTTTACAAATATATTATTACACACACCTAGACATTGGAAAAACACTATGGTCATCACACGATACTTTTCCAGTAGTGGGGATCGAACCCACGCCCTCTGGTCTGGCGCAAGAGTGGTGAACGTGTACCACTCACCACGCCAATGGGATCGCTAAACGTTTTTTATTCAATATAGAAGCATTACACTTACGTATTGGTTGTCAGAACACTATCTCCGGTTCGGAAAAGAAAAGCCACTGACCTGAGAAGAACCGGCGAAATAAACTCAGCTGGCGATTCTTATTGACCATTGTTTGACAAAGAAACATGTTTGCAACGCACTAAACGTCCACTTGAAAGAGCATGGAGCGATCAATTCATTACCGGGCTGTGTTATCATTTAAATAATCATTAATATCGTTTATAGTGCATGCATTCCCACTGTGTGATTACGTCATCGAGCTGCCGCATAAGAGAAAGAGTCCACTCTTCCCCAAATCTCACTTCATGCGTTCCTAATGTGTGACTTCATATCAATAAGCTACGGATATAAAGAAAAAGTCTTAACCGACAAACGAGCTGGTGGTTCACCTGATGTTAAGTGATAGAGAGAATGCAACCTCATAGAAGACCGGCGTGAAATGGAAGTGTCATACCGTCTACCTTACGTCTGGTGCTTGAGGTAACCGGGGCCCCGCTTTATTAAAAGGTTGCAACCACCAATGGGCGGTTATCACTTAACATCAGGTGAACTGTCGGCTCGATTGGCACCTTCTATTTAAAAAAAAAAGGATCATTACTGACCGCGCTTTTTGTTGTCCAGGCATCGGCAGTATCCCGGACGCGGTGCTCTCCGCTCTGAAAGACCACAAGGACCTCGGGAATCCACTCGGAGATGTTCAGCGTCGGCGTGATAGACCTGGTGCGGCGCGGGTGCATCACCAACAACAGGTGACGAGGCTGCACCACGTAATTTTTAGGGTTCCGTACCAGAAGAGTAACACGTATAAGAGTTCTAACGTTTTTACCTTGATCCTAACATTTTAACTATTACTGAACTTGAATATTAACAACTATTATAACGACGAGCAGCACTAGTAGTTATATCACCGTCCAGAAACGAGGCCGAAATCCAAGTGACCGCTGCTCCATGCGACCGTGTGTCCCTTAGCTCGAATAAATAACGTCATATCCGGTAAACAGTGTTGCCAGCGCCAACACACGGGACCGTATTACTAAGACTCCGCTATCTGTCTGTCTGTCACCAGGCTGTGTCTCATGAACCGTGATAGTTAGACAGTTCGAAATTTTCACAGAATGATGTATATCTGTTAACAACAAATTTTAAATTGCAATAAAAATGCGTGTTTATTTTTTTTACTATTATTTATTTATTTAATTATTGCATTTTGCATGCATCAATTTATAATAATGTTCTTTTACTAAACATGACCTTAGTCTTTTGACCTTGAACATTTAAGAGTATAAATTTTATAGTCTACTAGCTGACTCGGTAAACGTTATTTTGCCATATAGATTATTTCTAGAGGAATCGGTATCGTTCAAAAATCGTTTGACATGTTGACAGGTACAGTTTGTATGGGAAAATAAAATTGTTGCTATTTCTATTTCCCATGCAATTTTTCCATAATTTCTCATCGTTCCTTTCAAAACCTTCCTTGGACTGCCACGAATATACCAAAACCAAAATTAGCCAAATCGGTCCGGCCGTTCTCGAGTTTTAGCGAGACTAACGAACAGCAATCCATTTTTATATATAATACTAGCTGACTCGGCAAACGTTGTTTTGCAATATAAATTATTTCTAGAGGAATCGGAACGCAATCATAAAGTGTTTGACAGGATACACAGACAGACATAGTTGACAGGTTGACAGTTACAGTTTGTATGGGGAAAATAAAATCGTTGCTATTTCGATTTTCCATGCAATTTTTCACAATCATTTCTCATCGTTTAAACCATCCCTGGACCGCCACAAATATTTCAAAACCAAAATTAGCCAAATCGGTCCGGCCGTTCTCGAGTTTTAGCGAGACTAACGAACAGCAATCCATTTTTATATATAAGATATTTATACGCTTTTTATAGAGTTACTTTCTGGGTCGGTGGAAAGCCGTGGTGCTCGTAAATGTGCGGTTATAAACAAGAGAATATATCCTGATATTTACAAAACGTTATCTGCGTCCAAACTAAACAATACTTGTGATATGACTACTAGGTAACTGATAAAAATATTTAGATATACTTAAACAATCACAATGACAGATTTCGGCAACAGAGTAAATAATAAAAAAAAAATCGCAACGCCATCGGGTTGTTCTTTTTTTTTTTCTATATATTGACAGATTTTATAGGCGATTCTTTGCACCGTAACGTAAAATAAATAAAAAAATATTTCATTTTTGACTTGGACACATTTTTGCACAAAGTTATCTAGTCCCAAAATAAACAACGCTTTTACTATGGATGCTAGATAACTGATAAGCAAACTTAAGTATACCGTTGTTTTGTAAATTAATACACATACCTACATAGTATTAAACATGGTCAAAGTCTAAACACGCGCGAAGCCGGGGCGGGTCGCTAGTTCTAAATATATAAAAACCCTGGACGGACACTGGAAAAACATCATGTTCATCATAAAACGCACAAGGTGTTCATAGCTTAGGACTTGCTTAAGGACAAACTTACTACGCCATTGTTTCGCCTACAAAAAGTAAATAGGTCGTTCATGGGGCAAGGCGTGCGCATGTATAATAAAATTCCGCAGTCGATATTAAGTCTGCCGCTTGATCAATTTAAACGTAAAATCAAAAGTCAACTTATGGTTAAAGCATATTACACTGTTGCGGAATATCTCGACGACGCCAATGTGTGGAGTTAATACTGTTGATACTCGCGTAGGGTAGAATAAGACTATTGTACCGAGCCGTGATAGCTCAGTGTCCGGGCGCTCGCCTTTAATTCAATATATACTCGAGCAATCTGAGTTCGATCCCCGGTGCCGGCACCAATGAAGTTTTTAACTTTAAGTGCTGAATTATCACGTGCTCCGCGGTGAAGGAAAACATCGTGAGGAAACCTGCATATTTTCGAAATAATAACAAAAAATGTATTTCGAAAATATGTGAAGTCCGCCAATCCGCAGTGGGGCCGCGTGGTGGACTATGCCCTGATACCCTCTGTATAGAGGAGGCCTTTGCCCAGCAGTGGGACATGTATTGGCTGTTACTTTATTTTACTTTACTATACCGGTATTTTATATTGTAAAGTCATACCTTTGAAAAAGAGCAACTGTTGAGTTTCTTGCCGGTCTCTTCTCAACAGAAACTGCTTTCCGAACCGGTGGTACCTTACGAACCTCTATGTATAATGTTTTATGTAAAATTTGACGATTCATAAGAACGCGCAAGCGTCTATTTGAATAAAGATTTTTGATTGATTGATAGCAGTGGGGATCGAAGCCGCATTCTGGCGAAAGAGGTCCCACCCACTAGGCCAATCGGGTCGTCCTTGTTTAATTAATAAGCATATTTTTATGTAAGACGGTGGCAAGCGAGCTGGCAGCTGACCTGATGTTAAATGATAATCGCCGCCTATTGACATTTGCAACACCCGAAGGGTTGCAGATGCGTTGCCACCTTATAATGAAGGCTTGCCTGGAAGAAATTACTTTTACTAATGAGGCTGTTCATTGTACCCATAATTTCAACATTAAGTTTTTGTTTCTTTTTTATTTTATTTTGGTGTGCAATCTTATTTCTTACAAATATTATAAACAGTGAGTTTGTATGGATGTATGGATATTTGTTAGGCTTTCACGCTAAAACTGCTGAATGGATTTTAATGAAACTTTACAATAATCTAGCTTATACATCAGAATAACACATAAGCTGTAACTTATAAACATATTGTGTGAATTGTCCTAAATAGTGTCAACAATGTAGGAAAAAAATCTGCATATATATCTATATTGCTATACAGCGTGTCGTTACCATCACGACAATAAATGAAAACACGTCTAAAGCTACTTGCCAATAATCAATAAAAAATATTAACGTTAAAGAAAATCTATAATTAAAAAAAATATATTAAATGAAACTACTTTACGGATTTTATCGCGTTTTTTTATTTTAATTTAAATTCCCGACGTTTCGAACCCTTTCCAGCGTTCATGGTCACGGGACAGACTAAGTTGTTAGACGTCTTGATGTCATAGTTAACCCCGGCTACCGTCAATTATTTTGTTTATTTTTATTCCGATCCACGCAGAAGGAGCTTATGGTATCTTGAGGTCTGGCAGTGTTGGTGTGCTTGGATTTAATTTTATAAATTATGGGATCCCAAGCAGATGATAAACTCCAACCATCTTCTCTATTGAAATTAGGATGTTTCTTTATTTCAATAGCCTCGCGGATCATCCTTGGAAGGAATCGGTGTTCTTTTGCGAGGATTTTCGGTTGATCAAATCTAATGTAGTGGTTGGGGCGGTCTAAAATATGATCACAAACTGCAGACTTCTTCAACCGTCGGTGCTTCACGTCAGCTATGTGTTCTTTAATTCTGGTTTTTATTGATCGTTTTGTTTGTCCTATGTAAGAGAGCCCGCAATCGCAGTCAAGCTTGTACACTCCTGGATCTTGTAGAGGGATATTACACTTGACAGATGGTAAAAATTGACTTATCTTCTTCGGTGGCTTGAAATATGTTTTAATTGAAGCACGCTTCAAGATATAGCCAATCTTGTCAGTGACTCCTCTGACATATGGCAATACAGCAGGCACTCGCTCGACTGTGGCCGGTTTCACTCGGTCACTGTGACGCAGGCGCGGGATTTGGAGCTTGTTGTCACGCAGCACTTGCTTGACATTGTGTTGCTCAGCGGCCAGGTGTTCCTTGTCACAGATCCCTCGTGCTCTCTGTAACAAACATTTACCAACAGTAGCTAACTGTGAAGGGTGGTGGTGAGAATCACCATTTAAATATTTATTTGTATGGGTCTCCTTTCATCCTCATTCATCTTTACCATCAGACAAAGTAAATGCATTTCTAAACCACCTCAATTCCTTACACACTAAAATTACATTCACTATGGAATTAGAGACTTGTAACTCCTTAGCCTTTCTAGATGTATTAGTCATCCGAAATCTTGACAACACCTTGAGCCATACTGTGTATAGAAAGGAGACCCATACAAATAAATATTTAAATGGTGATTCTCACCACCACCCTTCACAGTTAGCTACTGTTGATAAATGTTTGTTACAGAGAGCACGAGGGATCTGTGACAAGGAACACCTGGCCGCTGAGCTACACAATGTCAAGCAAGTGCTGCGTGACAACAAGCTCCAAATCCCGCGCCTGCGTCACAGTGACCGAGTGAAACCGGCCACAGTCGAGCGAGTGCCTGCTGTATTGCCATATGTCAGAGGGAGTCACTGACAAGATTGGCTATATCTTGAAGCGTGCTTCAATTAAAACATATTTCAAGCCACCGAAGAAGATAAGTCAATTTTTACCATCTGTCAAGTGTAATATCCCTCTACAAGATCCAGGAGTGTACAAGCTTGACTGCGATTGTGGGCTCTCTTACATAGGACAAACAAAACGATCAATAAAAACCAGAATTAAAGAACACATAGCTAACGTGAAGCACCGACGGTTGAAGAAGTCTGCAGTTTGTGATCATATTTTAGACCGCCCCAACCACTACATTAGATTTGATCAACCGAAAATCCTCGCAAAAGAACACCGATTCCTTCCAAGGATGATCCGCGAGGCTATTGAAATAAAGAAACATCCTAATTTCAATAGAGAAGATGGTTGGAGTTTATCATCTGCTTGGGATCCCATAATTTATAAAATTAAATCCAAGCACACCAACACTGCCAGACCTCAAGATACCATAAGCTCCTTCTGCGTGGATCGGAATAAAAATAAACAAAATAATTGACGGTAGCCGGGGTTAACTATGACATCAAGACGTCTAACAACTTAGTCTGTCCCGTGACCATGAACGCTGGAAAGGGTTCGAAACGTCGGGAATTTAAATTAAAATAAAAAAACGCGATAAAATCCGTAAAGTAGTTTCATTTAATATGTATAATATTCGCGTAAAATCAAGAAAACAATATAAAAAAAATATTTTTCAAACAAACTAATTAAGTAAAAAAGAAACAAAATTAGTAACATCCTATACAACTCGCGCCACAGCGTCGTATTACAAGCCTCTCCTTCTAACAGTACGTTTTGTCTCTTTTAAATTCATTCAACCCATTCATGTGCTTTGTGACCTTTACAAATGAACTTTACGTTACGCTTTTATAGGTAAGGGTGTCTTAAAATTCTTTGTATTGGAAAATTTAATAACTCTGTAAATATTGATGTCTAAAGAATTTAAATGTTTAATACAACTTTAGAAAGTTATCACCTATATGTGTGTTTATTTATTGTCGCGATGGTAACGACACGCTGTATAATCAAAACATTCACAGTCAATTCTCTTTGACCGCGCGGGCGAAGCCTCGGTTAAACAGCTGGTAAAGAATACTAAATCACTCATTCATAATGTACGTGAACCTTTCGCAGGAAGAAGACCCACAAGGGCCGCATAGTGGGCAGCTTTCTGGTCGGCAACAGGGAGCTATACGACTTCGTCGACAATAATCCTTTCATCGGTGAGTCTCATCACTAACAAACGTGGTCGCTAGCGTCAAAGGAACAATATTTTTTTTTTTTTTTTTTTTTTATGCGAAAAGTTGCCAAACGAGCAGACGGGTCACCTGATGTTAAGTGAATACCGCCGCCCATGGACATCTGCTACACCCGAGGGTTACAGATGCGTTGACAACCTTTTGAAAATTGGGCTCCGGCTACCTCACTCACCAGAGTGGAATATGGAATATGGAGTATTTTCCAATTAACCTATCATGTTATATATCATTTAACCAAACATGTTATATAGCATTTAAGCAAACATGTTATATAGCCTCGATAGCTGTTTCCAGGTTCCATTCCCGCAGCGTTGATAAAAATTTCGTACTTACAGTACGAGATTACGTACAGATTTCGAGTATTTTTTTTTTTGGGCGGTGGGTAATTCTTTTAGTTTCTAGATTGTTTTTTTTTTTAATATTAAAATCGCTTAATGCTTGTCATCGATGCAGTTGCCAAGGTATTAGGAACGCCTCGGGGATCGTTGGTTCTATTCCCACACGGAACAACTATTTGTGCGACCCATACATAGCTTTTTCGCATCTAGGTGTTTGTCCACATGAAATGTATGCTTTTAAAACGTCCTTTCAAGACGGGATATAATTTTTTTTTTAAATAATTCAATTGATTAACTATACAATTGTATATCTAACCCATCATCCTGTTTCAGAGATGCTTGAAATCGACTATGTGAACAACACACACATAGTGTCGCTGCTACCCACGATGACCGCTATCAACTCTTGCATCGAGGTGGACCTCACGGGGCAGGTGTGCGCGGACTCTATAGGTACGAGTGATGTTATAAAAGAGAGAAAAAATATACGCCTTCGAAAAAAGTTTCACTTAAAAAAAAAAAAACAATCCGAAACGGGGTCGCCTGTGTACTGTGTACTATGCCGTAACACCCTCTATACAGAGGAGGCCATCGCCAAGCAGCTGGACTTACGCCCGGTTTCTGAAACAGTGATCTAGTTTAACCATCCTTTAGGCAACACTCAACACATTATTCTTATATTATCCTTTAAACGAGCAATTCTTGTATATATATATATATTTTTTTTAAATTTATTAATCACAAAAAATATACAAAGAATAGGCTTACTATTCTCGCCAAACTTTTACGTTTGATGGCGAGACACGCTCGATTTTCAACATAATATCTTCTAAGTATACTACTAATTTACTTATAATATTAATTATACACATTTATTAAGTATTTCTTTACACTATAATTATAACCAACACAGGCACTAATTAAAACAATGATAAACTTCTGTTATAAATAACTACTACTCCAATGATAATTCATCAAGAAACAACTGTTTAAGTTTTGACTTCAACACATTTTTACTGAGTTGCGGACTCCCTCTCAAAAGTTCAAATTTATTAAATATCTTAGGTATTAGAAATTTTGATAATCTTTCCCCATAATAATTATTCATTCTCGATTTAACAAGCATTTTACATTTTACACTTCTTGTATCATATTTATTATTAACATATCTTTTATAATCATTACTATAGTAATGACGTATGCCTATTAAGTATTCGATTTTTTTTGTCTACAGGCAGTATTTTACAAATAGGAAATAATTTATTATAGTCCTGTTCACAATTATCTTTAACTTTTTTGGTCACTAGGTACTTAATCAGCCTTATTTGTAAATTTTTTATATTTTTTAAATAGGTGCAAAACGTCCGCCCATATACAATGAGTCCATAGCTAATCAGTGAGTCAGCAAGCGCATAATACACAATGCGTAACGTGTGCTTGTCTACAACTGCATTTAATTGATAAAACTTACATACCATAGATCTTAATTTATTACATTAACATGCAACATTATGTCATTAACATGCGTTTTCCAGCTAAAATTTTGATCAATAGTTAAGCCTAAATATTTAAATGTATTGACATAATCTAATTTATCACACCTGCAGTCGATTTTATTAGCATGTAGGCATTCATATGAGTGGCCAATTATATGTATCTGTTCTTTATTAATAATTTTAACTTGTCGATTGTATGGTGAGTGTATATGCATGCCCTTGTTTTGCGACAGATTCAATATAATTCCATTATCGTGTGCCCACTTAGTTATACTTTCAAAATCTTCTTGTACATAGCTTTGTATCTCAGATATATCCTTGGAAGCATAAACAATACACATATCATCGGCATACATAAAAACGCGGCACTTGTTTACGACATTTGACACACTATTCACATGCATCACATATCCTAATGGACCAAATACTGATCCAGTCGGCACCCCCAAATCCACATGCATATCCTCACCAGTCACACCAGCTATCATCGTACGCATTTATCTGTAACTCAGGTAGTTCCGAAACCATTTATTCGTAGGGCCTCGTATTCCACATTCATCCATCGCCTGTAGCAGAATGTCATGATCCAGGGTGTCAAACGCCTTTTTGTAATCTATAAAAAGTGTTATAATTTGTTTACCAGCGTCCAAAGACTCGTTAATGTAATCGGCAAATTCCGTAAGTGCTGAAACTGTACTGCGCCCCGAGCGGAAACCGTGCTGAGCGTCTGACAAAATGTTATGACATTCCAAGAATTTAGAAATTTGACTTACAATAATTTTTTCAAAAATTTTATCAATAATAGATAATATGGCTATAGGTCTATAATTAACATATTCTAAGTGGTTTCCTGACTTATATATAGGGCGTATAATAGCATGTTTTAACTGATCGGGATAAATACTCTTCAACATACACATATTGATAAAATTTGCTATAACAGGACTTAATTGTTTCCGTGTATATTTGATGTCTTTTATCCTAATTCCATCTAATCCGGGGGCTTTTTCACATGATAAATTATTAATAACCTTTTCTACATCTAAAGAACACACCATCATATATCTAAAACTCACCACACTCGGATTCACATATTGACTTCTATTTAAAAATTTAATTTTACATTTATGCTTTATTCCCTTAATTTCTTCAGTAAATGTTTTAGAAAAATTTGTACATATTTGTATCATGTTTTCTGTCTTACCTAAATGCCGCAATATTACATCATCTAGACTTACTTTATTTCGCCCCAGCCACTGGTTTATTTTTGCCCATATTTTCTTAAAGTCCCCATTACATTTTTTTATTTCTATCTGTCTATATTTATTTTTAGCCTTAATTATAATTTTATTTACTTTATTTCTAAATTTTGTATATTCTAATCGCTTATTCATATTTTTTGGTTCACGTTTCCACACTCTAAACAAATAGTCTCGTCTTAATATCATTTTATATAAATATCTATCTATCCATGGTTGTCTTATTAAACTTTTATTACAAGTTGTTACTACAGTTGCTTTTTCCCTATATATCCTATCAAACACAGTACATAATGTTTGAAACAACACAAGTGGACATGTTATATCCGATAATTGCGCCCAGTTATACGAGTTTAGCTTTTGTTTTATAAAATTTTCATTAAGTAATTTCCGCACATTACTGTCCCTATTAGTTTGAGTCATTATATTGCAGTTATCACTTAAATTAAATTTATCACTATTCCAATCGCATGGTGATCGGAGATTTTCGTCTCGAGCACGAACGATGACGGTTCACACTCGTTCCGTCCCGCACGCACCCATAGGTGATCTAAGCACGATGTCTCGTTCCGTCCATCCACAACCGCCTCACGTGTTATCTCTGTACTCGGTATGAAACACAATAGGCCGTAGGCACACAGGGTGTTTTTGTACTTCGTTGTTGTTGGATTAGTTTTATCGTTTAGAATATCTATATTAGGGTCACCAATCAATATTACATTATCGGATGTTGGAATAGATTTTAACGTGGTCTCCAATTGATGTATGAAGAATAATTAATTTTTTTGTGGTGGTCTATACATGGCGATAATATGAGTTGTCTTGTTTCCTATTTTTAGCTGTCCGTGTAGCATTTCTAAGGCCTCTGTAGGAACTCTCCGAGCATCGAAGCTAAGTTTATCACGGGCATAGATTAATATCCCTCCCCCTCTGGTAGTTTCTCTTGATATTATAAAGGAGTTAAATCCTGTTATTTGATATAACGATAGCTCTTCTTTCCTAATATTTACTTCGCTTAATATTAATATATCTGTCCTGTATTTATGTTCTTCCAATAAAACTAGCAATTCATTAAAATGTTTCCGAAGTGACCTGATATTCAGATGAAAAATTTGAATATTATTTATATTTTGTGTGAAATCATTACTCAGATCTGAAATATGATTATATCTTTTATATATAATGTCTGAAAAAAATATATCCGTTTGGGTGAACGTTGGTGTTAAATGCACCCAGTGTGTATTCGCCGCTCCACGCGTACTATGAGCGCATCGCATTTATTTATTAGTTATAATCTTCGAATTTATTAAGGTCATCTTCCGATTTTATGTTGTAGATCTTTTTTTTCTTCGCTGCTCTTTTTTACTAGAATATTGTTGTTTTGGACCCAAATACATTGATAGCCTTTTGGTTTTAGTTTATTTCTGACGGCCCATAGAAGTTGGCGCTTGTATTTTGGCAAATCCTCATTAATAAATACGGGGTTTTCGCTGCCATTGCCATAAATTTTATTATTTGTTAATTTACATTGTTTTTTGGCTAACATCCAGCTATTACGGGCGTTTTTAGATCGCAGTTTAACCACCACGGTTTTAATCTTTTTATCACTAATTTTTTCTTGACCTACCCTCTGTGCTTCTTCGATATCATCCGGATTTAAGTTTAGCTTACAAGCAATTTCTTTAATTACAGATGTAATATTCTCGTCCTTGTGCATTTCCAGCCCGTGAATTTCTACATTTTTCTCTCTTTCTTTAAATTCCAGCTCCTGCACCCGTTCTTCCAACGCTTTATTGCACTTCTCTAAGTAAATATGTTCTAATGACTTGATTCGTTTTTGCGATTCTTCCTTGAATGTTATTAAGGTTTGATACATTTCGGCGTAAAATTCTACGTTGGTAGAAAGGTCTTCAATTTTTTTCTCCATATTGTAAATAACTTCTAACTTTTTGTTCACCTCAGCTAATACCTTCTCACCGGATTCACTAGAGTTTATCGACAGTTTTGGGTCCTGTGCTGGCTGCGAAGGGCTGGTTTTTCGACACTCATCGCAGAATGACGTATGCAGAAATTGTTTATTCGATTGCACGCATTTCTTGTGAATAACCGCCTCACATGCACCTTTACACTTTACTAAATTGTCATCCTCATTCAAGGACACAAACATTTTACATTTTTTGCACTGTATCATTTTGCTTCGCAGAACGTTTCCGCAGTATACTTTGTTTAATTGCACACGACCGTACGCTGAGCGCGCGCGCCCGGAATTGAAGAGAGAAACACTATATATACTAGACAAACTCAAATGACATTTGAAGAGAGAAACAAATGATTAGTTAACTTCTAAGATGAAGTGTTTCGGATACCGGGCGTTAAGACTTGCTTTTTTTTACCCTTAACCTTAGTCAACTCGTACATATTTCACTTTATTTAATCCACAAACTGCAGCCGTGTTAGCTCATTGTCCGGGCGCTCGCCTTTAATTCAATATACTCGAGCAACCCGAGTTCGATCCCCGGTGCCGGCTACAATGAAACTGTCAATTTTTTGTGCCGATTTATCACGTGCTCAACGGTGAAGGGGAACATCGTGAGGGGAAACCTGCATATTTTCAGGTTAAAGACATTTATTTATCACAAAAAGAACATTACATAGTTCACTTAAAACGTGATAAACATATAGAATAAGTCTTAAATATATGTATGACACAAACAACAGTCTCAGAGGGATAACAGAGCTTATAAATCTAAGCAGATAGTAATTTGTTTAACAGGCGTTTTTTGAACAATGCAATGGTTTTACATCCTTTAATTTCCTCAGGCAGTTTGTTGTACAGTTGCGCTCCCACAAATCGAATATTTTTTTTTCCTACACCAGTTCTACATGTTGGTAATTCAAGGTTATGTCTATTTCGGGTTAAATATCGAAAAAACAATAGAATGATATTTTCGTAATAATAACAAAAAAAATACTCCGAAGATATCGCAAATCGGCAGTGGGGCCGCGCGGTGAGCTATGCCATGATACCCTCTGTATAGAGGAGGCCTTTGCCCAGCAGTGGGACGTGTATATTTGTTTACCCCACGCCGCACCAGGCACGCGCATGTACTCCGGCTTCGGCGGGCAGGTGGACTTCATCCGCGGCGCGGCCGAGGCCGTGGACGGCAAGGGCAAGCCCATCATCGCGCTCGTCTCCACCACCAAGAAGGGCGAGAGCAAGATTGTGCCCACGCTCAAAGTCGGTGAGTGGCCCCCGCGGGCTTTGCGGATGTGACAATTAAGTGGCAAACTAATGCTAAATGATAGTTATAAATATAATCTATACATACAGATAAATAAAATTGGAGTGTCTGTTTGTAATATTAAAATAACCGCGTTTCACCAAATGCATATGGATGTATACACGGTACATATACCAAAATGACATTTTTTACAATTTTTGTCTGTCTGTCTCTTTGTTCCGGCTTGTTATAAAAATAATAAAGTATGCAGTGGGTGATAGTGAATAGTGATGAGATACTCTTACCAGTATGTGGGTTCGATCCCCAATATTAGAAAAATATTTTGTGTTGAACAAAGTTTTTTTACAGTCTGAGTGTTCATATATCCATAATATGTATTTAATTACAAAAGAAAAGCATTCTTAAGTTTGCTCATCAGCTATTTATGAAATATTATGAATCAGATATTTATGAATGCTTTGCGCATTCCAGTAAATGCGCCGAGCTTGCCTTTTTAACAGGTAAAAGAATATTAAAGAAAATTTTTATAAAAAGGGTTGTTACAATAAAAACATTAAAGGTTTAAAAATATAAATACATTAATTATTAAGGAATGAGGCGTTTGCTCCCGAGCTATTTCTTCAAAAACAAAAATTATGTCTAATATTTTAATGTAATGTTAATTTAGATAAAAAAAGACAAAGTAATGACAAAATGACGGAGTTTCTTTCGCCTGTTTCTTCTCATTAGAGAAACACATTTATTCTCATTAGAGAATTCTATTATCATTAGAAAAGCACATTTATTAAGTCGATGAATAAATGATTTTATTTGATTTTGAGGAATGTTGTTTGTTAAGTTTAAGAATAGGGTTGCCAACCATACTTTCTAATAACGTTAATTATATGATATGATTAAACAAAAACACCTCTATCCCAAGAAAATTTTATCTTTTTTTCCTTACACAAATTCGTTAAATAATCCTGGCTTCCAAAAATTTAAGTATAGTGAAAAACGTAAGGAGAAAAAATATGATTGTGAAAAATGCTTTAATTTTCTTCTGTATTTTTTCTCTACTCGAAAATGAGATATTTTGTTTTTCTCAAAAACAGTTGGGAACCCTATGAAAGAATGTGGTCTGGAATATTTTACAATCTACACGAAAACTTTACCAGGCGCCGGCGTGGTGACGACCCGTGCCCACGTCCACTACGTGGTGACCGAGTACGGAATCGCGTATTTGTTCGGGAAGACCCTCAGACAGAGGGCGTACGAGCTGATCAAGATCGCCCATCCCCAACACCGGGAGGCGCTGGAGAAGGCGGCCTTCGAACGCCTCCAGTGCATGCCGGCACCCTAAAACCATAGACAACGGGTAGCGGTGGGCGTTAACGAGTCGCTTATAAAAACCGTTTCTCAAAACCGTTCCTGTCAGAACAGTCGACGGATCGCGGTAAACTAGTATATCTGCGAAACACGCTATTTACTTTTTACCGTCTACGTTAACCTTTAAAGTTAAGTGTAACTTTAATATACATATACTGAAACGAGAACAAGGGAATCAAATGTTTCTAAACTATTTTAACGGACATTCTGTTCCGTGTCCATGAATGCTGAAAAGCTTTCGAAACGTCGGGAACTAAAATTAAAAAAAGACACGATAAATCGCGATAGTTTAATAATTTGTTAGCGCACGATTACAAGAAAATATAAAATCAACTGTTTCATTAACTACTCGTTAACGGTTTCTTTACGTCGACTATCAATGACCCACCACTACAAGAGAGTTTTAAGCAAGACAAATGTAATATACAGAGTTGCCAGTGTCGAAATGTCTACGCTACAGTAGTACCATTAATTGAAAGTATATGTATAAGTAATGTTATCTAAGTAGTATTATCGAATAAGAAAAATTGAATTTTTAAATGAATTAAACTACCATTGCATCAAAAGAAATAGTCATCACCTGTAGCAAAGTTGTAAAATTAATTACATGTTGATTACACTGCCATTGTTATCAGATAGAAAATTGATTTAACTTAATATAACTAGGTGAAGCGTATTAATGTGTAAATGCATTTTATCTCTTTACATTATATATTGTTAAACTTGCTACCTATAAAAGAATGCTGTGAACTTCAAGAGTTTAATTCGACGAATTTTTTGTAATGTTCATTTTTGACGTCGTCGTGATCACTTCAATGCATAGAGCATCAAGCTCTATATTTTTGTATTGCGTTTAATATTTCATATTTATTGAATTTTGGTTCCTTTTTTTATTCGCAATGTAAAATAAAGAATTTTATTGAAAGTTTATTTGTGTCTTTCCTATTTCCATTATAGTATAATTTACCACTTTGTAATTTCTAAATCTGCCTAACGTTATATACGTTATACGAAAAGGTATCCAACGTCTTAAAAACAGCCGGTCTTAAGTAAATACTTGGTTGTTGAATTCTATTTAATTTTGATAAATTTTATTGTTTGGAAGTTTTTGTGTAAATCATCAATAAATAATCGTATTAATAATACATAATTCTTTTCACCAAACGTCTTTGCCATTATTACCGGTTCGATATTTTTTGTCCAGTATATGGAGGCCGACTCAAGAGACTGTAACATAATTTATTCAATCGATAAAAGCTGGTGTTCTTTTTATAAATTCTTATAATATGAACTGTCACTATTTCAATAAGATTTTAGTAAATTGTCCGTTTCAATGCTTATTATATGATTATATGCTCCAGGCCAAAAGAGGATGAACAACAATAATGTAAGTAGTCTGTGGAAGGCAATATAAAGTCATTTTTGGAACTTAGGTCTTACCGAATGTCATCGTTAACGCCAAAAAACTTAAAATTGTAATTTTAAAGTACTCTAAGTTTGTGTCGCCTTTATCATTTTAGTCATCCTTATTTATTTTTATTGATCTTCTAACAAAATGTTTAGTTTCTATTCAGGTATCTCAACCAATAAAGTATGATGTTCTAAATACCGTACAAAAGTCTTCTTCTTCTTCTTCTTCTTCTTTGATTAATGGCCTCTCTTAAAAGAATTCTGCCAATGTCATGTCAGTCATGGGAGTCACACTTATTAATGAGTTACAAAAAAAGAAATAAAAACCGGTTTGTGTGATACTTCCGAATCTACAACAAGAACAAAAAAAAACATTTATTATCCCATTACCAAAGTTAGTTTATAGACATATATTATTAATACTTATAAAGTTACACAGGATATTTATGAACGGAGTGAAAACCAAGGTTAACAAATACGGCATATTTACAGGACGAGGAATGTTATAAGGAATATAATCATAAAGGGAATTTCTAAGCTTTGGACAATTAAAAAATATATGATTAGCGGAACCTTCGTCAAGACCACATTCACAGATTGAGCTATCCCTTATCCTCAATTTAGCCAGGTGTACCGGAGTACAACAATGACCAAATCGTAGACGACAAATAGTAGATGTGATTTTTTTACTAGCTTCACGATACAAGAAAATCCAAGGCTTTATAGGGATTTTGTCTTGGACATCAGCATATTGTCGGCCTTTGAGGGATCTCGAGTCTATCCATAATGACTGCCACGAAGATCTTAGGTTAGAAGTTGCTAATGGAAGCAGGTCATGAGTGAAGATTTGATACCGTGAATTTATTCCTGTTTCAGTCGCCTTTTTTGCTAGTGCGTCCACATTCATTACCTTGGATCCCGCAATGACTGGGTATCCATGCCAGGACAACTTTTAACCCTTTTGAATGAGAATAAAACATAGATATTTTTATTTCAAGAATTAGAGGGGAAACTTTAGCATGAAAAGAGTTGGACACGATTGCTTGAAGGCAACTAAGAGAGTCAGAAAGGATAAGGGTTCTGTCTAAATTGTGAGATTCTGCATATAAGACTGCTTCAAGAATGGATACTGATTCACCTGTGAAAACTGATGAGTTAGGAGGGAACTTAAAATTTAAAATTATTTTATATTTAGGGAACCAAATTGCTGATCCAACACACTCCTGATCAGATAACTTAGAAGCATCCGTATACATAACATTCCAGTTCACCCAATTTTGAGAGAGTTCCCAGTTTAATTGCGCATTTGCATTAGTTGATTTCTTGTCTATACCCAAATTAAAGATCACAGCAGGGTTAAAGGTAAGAGCTTCAAAGGGGGTGGAGAAAAGTGGGTTAAGACTGTTTTGAAAAAATGGAAAATGTATATTTTTTAATTTTAAATAACTTTTAACAATACACGGTATATTTTTGTTAGTCCAATATGTGTCATGGTTTATACTCCGGGAAAGAGAGGAGAGTAGACTTATAAGAGGATGATTAGCAAGGTAAGCTATTTTAAATATGAATCTGTCTGATAAATACTGTCTACGTAAGAAAAGGGGAGGTTCAACGCATTCAACTTGTAGTGCATTAATAGGAGTAGATCTCATGCCTCCTACTACAATACGAAGGGATTTCGCTTGTATTTTATCTAAAGTACTGAGAGCACCTTTGTTACATGGCTCCAGTAAGAAACTTGCATAATCAAGATGGCTTCGTATCAAAGCATTGTATAGAAGTTTTTGGGAGTAGGGATGACAACCCCACCATACACCTGACAAGGATCGGATAACATTTAGATTTTTCTCACATTTGTCTGGTACATGTGAAATGTGATGACTGCCAGACATTTTACTGTCCAGAACCACTCCAAGAAACTTAGCACAGCTTTTATGAGGGATGACAGATTCTCCAAGAAATATAGGAGTTTCTGGGGTATGTTTTCGCCTTGTAAATTATACTGTATTACTTTTTGAGGGAGAGATCGATAAACCATGTTCCAACAACCAATCATTTAAATAGTTCAATGCAGTTGATAATTTAGAGGTTGCTTCACTTAAGCTTGGATTAGAAGCATACAGAGCAATATCATCGGCATATTGTAAGACGTTACAGAAGCAATCTACTGATCTATCCAAATCATGGGTATAAATATTATAAAGAAGGGGGCTAAGGACTGAACCTTGCGGAAGACCTTTCCATGTTTACCTAGCAGATGTGAGATTACTCTCAGTCCTTACTAAGATATATCTACCTAACAGGATGTTTGACACAAAATTTGTTATCCTCACAGAGATACTCAGTTGTTGCATTTTCTGCCTGAGTATTGGAAGATTAACATTATCGTAAGCTGCCGTCACATCCAGAAAAACAGCAGCAAGAAATTCATTTTTTGTAAAGGCTAGTCTTATTTCTGAAATGAGTATGCTTAGACTATCAATTACACTGAACCCTTTTCGAAAACCAAACTGATTTTTGGGAAAAATCCCCCTATTTTCTAAAAACCACTCTAATCGATTTTTAATTAGATGTTCCATGATTTTTAAAACAGTTGATGCCATTGCAATGGGGCGATAACTTGACTCGGAATTAGGATCTTTGCCAGGTTTTAAAATGGGAACCACAATATGACTTTTCCATTCGTCAGGAATGGAGCCTGATACAAAAATAAAATTTATTAAATCTAAAAAATATTTCTTTGAAATGGGACTCAAATTAATTAAAAACGAGTATGGAACCCCATCCTCTCCAGGGGAGGAATCTTTTAGATTGCTTAGTACTATGTTTAATTCAGAAATAGAAAAAGATTATCTATAAATGTACTTATATTAGAAGGAGTGAAGTAAGAGAGAGAGTGGTTATCCGGAAACATTTCCTCAAATGAAGGTGCCCAAGGAGGCGCCAATCTACTACAAAAATTGTACATCCATTGAGAAGAATTGTAACTATGAGAATTATTGTTATTTACTGCACATTTATATTGTCTTATAGCCTTCCAAACTAGAGATGAGGGCGAACGTGGTGCAAGACTCTCACAAAATGAAAGCCAACCTTTTTTTTTCTTTGAAGAAAATAATTTCTTTGCTTGAGCAGAAATATTCTGGTAGGTCAAAAAGTTTTGGTTTGTCATGTTTAGAGAATGTTGCCTCTCAGCTTCCTTACGTTTTTTAATCATTGCAGAACAGTCAGCATCCCACCATGGGGGAGAAGAAATATTTCTAGTAGTTGGATTTTTAAAAGGAATGGATTTAATAGCTGAATCTTTTAAAACAGTTATAAATTGAGAGTAAGACATTTGAAGATTAGTGGAGTTTACTGGAGGAAGATTTCGAATTTTATTTTCAGTTTCTAGTGTATATAGATCCCAATTGGCTTTAGTAAGGTTAAACTTTTGAAGAGGAGAATAATTCTGAGTTGGGATGCATCTATTGAATAAAGATAAGAGAATGGGATAATGATCGCTTCCATAAGTAGAGTGCAGGACTTTCCAGCTAGCATTTGCAGCCAGATTATGGGAGCACAGGGAAAGGTCTACTGCAGACTTTGGGTTTTGTGATGGGTAAGTCAAACGTGTTGGTGAACCATCATTTAAGACGCATAGATTAAAATCATCAAATATGTCAACCAGGAGTTGTGCAAAAGAATCAGTTTTGTGAGAACCCCACCGTACAAAAGTCATCACTTTAGGAAATTTTATCAATAACAGTTTGTTTTATTCAACCTTGACATTGGCAGAATCATCAAGGTATCCTTGATGGAGCCACTGTAATTAAAAAAAAAAAAAAAAGAGTACTCTAAAGCATAATTATAATTTAGCACCTTTTATCATTTTAATAACATTTTTGAAAGGAAGCAGTCTCTTAATAGTAACTGCCTTCAAATTAAATTTATTGTCTATATCAATTTGTTTAATATAGTAAGTAGACGTTAATGGGAACTTACTTTTTGCAAATTCAAATGTTCAACGTACAATGAAATTCAAATAATAATTTTGACTGACCTCACGCCATCTTGTATCGTCATAGTTGTTAATTCAAACCTGTGAGGTAGGGTAATCAAAACAGACATTTTTGAAATAATTATAAACATAATTTTTTTTTATAGACCATGCAAGAAAAGTTATAATCGGTAGCTATAGCACTTCAATTCCGCTCATATCTGCATCACATTTGAGCATTATAATACCTATATTTATAATTTTTTTATTCAAATTCAAAAATGAGTGCGTGTACTTATGTAGACGCATGAGACGTTATACTTCTTTATATATTAATTACAATAAAATAATAAAAAGAATGTAATGAAGGGATGCATCACTGAACATCGGCATATTATTATTACGCGTTATGGTGACTAAGCTCGAGGGCTCCCGGGGGAGCCTTGGCTCGAGCCGTCACGCTATTATTATCACCGGTTTGGGAGGCCGCCAAGCTCTTTAGGGCGCTTTGGCGGGCGCTCCATGGAGTGATCAGGCTCAAGGGTCCCCGAGAGGGGTCCTCTGCTTGGGCTGTCACTCAACACGCGTTTGGCATTCCGATTCAAGGGTGCCCGAGGGCCGGACCTCGGCTCGATCGGTAGCTATTATCTGACTGGGGGAATTTCTAGAGCTAACATTACTACCACTTCGGAGAGCGTTGGCGCTGGGAGAAGAAGTGGCGGAAGAAACTCCAGCAACGCTTCTATCATTAATGGGGGAAAACCTGCCAGGTAAGTGGCGGAACCTAATTTATGTTTGCCGTACTCGCCTGCGAGCGCGGTGTGTGTTGGTGTGTTTCCTATGTTTTTTGATCCTTTCGATGGCGATAGTCGTCTCATCGTCAGGGAAGTCGAGAACGCGTCGCGGTCTGCGGTAATCGCGGTGGAACGTATTTAACGGTAAAGGTTGGGATGCATGGCGGCGGATTCGAAGTATCAGCGCGACGCCGACTTCAGGAATTGAGCGATAGTGGGCAAATCTAAATCGACATGTAGGTCGATGTTGCGTATGAACCAGGGTGCTCCCGTGGCTCTGCGCAAAAATCGATTCTGAATGACCTGAAGCCGGTGTATTTGCTTCGGAGCAATGTGAGCGAAGACGGGGCTCACGTACGTCATGATAGGTCGAACTACTGCCTTGTACAAGGTCACCTTGTTCCGAAGGGACAGTTTTGACGTTTTATTGAGGAGCGGGTAGAGGCGACCGAGTAAAATATTTTAATAAACTTTTGAATATACATACATATCTAGAGCCGGCAAGTTGTGGGTTTATTTAAAAAAAATATATTTATCGAAACAGATATGTTTATGGCCCATAGAAAATTACAGTTACATAACAATAGAAATGACGAAGAATGACTCTTAGAAACGTATTTAATGTAACATTAATCGAATATTGGTAATTCGCGACGAATTTAGTGTCTATAGTTAATATACTTTATAATTTTTTTCTAGTAGAACTAGCAACTTTTTTATCGCATTACCGACATTTATTCTGTGCTCTAATATTTCGTCTATGGTTATTCCGCAACGTGCAGCGCCATCCTTCGTTCTATTTAGTGCTACGTTTACGAATGTCGCGATTTCATTTATAATCTGTTTTTGTCGTGGAAAATGTAAAAATCTTTCATGTTTCTTTCGAGAAGTGTTTAGTTTTATAAAGTGTCGTGTGTAGCTTTTCGGCTGTTTTCTTGTTTATTGGTGAAATAAAATAACTCATCATGTCGTTCTTTGCGACATCGCGGAAGGAGGTGATGATTGCGGGGAAATATAAGATGTTGCGAAGAATAGGTGGTGGTTCTTTTGGTGACATTTATTTGGCGATCAATATTTCTACCGGAGAGGTAATTAAAAAATACGCTTTATATCAACGTATGTCACGCCATTACGTCTCCTTAGCTGATTATTTCCAGTATGGATCCACGCCTTGACGGATTCATTTCAAGGACGCACCATATTGGACATAAAAACGTTCCGTACATGTAGTCTGTATAATCTATACTTAAATTTCTTTTTCTAGGGCATTGTCGTAAATATTTCACGCCATGGTATAGGAAGTTCGCTCAATTATATTAAAGTTTTATTTATTCTATGTAGAATTAAAGGGCATTAAAACTTATTATTTTCGATTTAAGTTTTCAATTTCCTTATTTTAACTAAATGAAACTATCATTGCTACAACTAAACCAAAAATCAATTTAGTTACAAAACAATTATATGCAAAATTATATACATTTCTAATACTGACCTATAACTTGTTGGTATGTGGTTCTATCTCCAACAAATGATTTCTACTATATTACACCTCTTTATTATAACCATGTGTTAATATGGTCATAGAAATATTGTAGTATTTAAAAGGAATCAGCAAAATATTGCAATTTGTTAATTGAAAATTATTTACATGAATCAAAATGATTCATGTGATAACATTATTGATTAAACTGAAAACAAAAATAGCTCTAAACAATTTGTCTGTGTTTAAGGATTTAAATGTAAAGAAATTAAATTTTTTATAATCAAATTTTGCATGCATAGAGAGCATGTAAAGTATAAGAATCTGTTTTTTTTGCAACATTTTGATGTAACAAATTTGGTTTGCATTCCCTGTTATCATATTTACTGTGGTAGAGCAAAAACAACTCATGTTATTCATCCTGCAGCATTAATTAATAGGCCAGTTGACCAGGAAGCCACTAAGGAGACCAGCGGGAAGAAAAATTATTTACACTTTTGCATTGCACTTGGTGAGCAAGGTAAAAGGATCACACACACTCAGTTCTTGGCAATACCCCTGCAAGCTCCCAGGCATTGTGAGTGTTCATGAGTGATGGTCTTAAGTTCATGGGAAAGTTCCATAATTACAGTTCCTTTGAACTGAAAAAAAAAAATGTGACCAGTTGTAGATATTATATGTTATGTCCCAGCCTGTAAAGCGGTATAGCCAATGAAGTGTCATGTGTGTCAAACCAGCAGGTTCAGGTTTAATTGGACAATTAAACATTACATAGTCTTTTGGCTGTGCAATTCATTAATAAACATCTGTAAATAATGAGTGTTTGCAGTTGTTATCCAAGTTGTTTTTACTATTGAACTTAAAAATGACAAGAACTAAGTTATGTATTATGTTAAGAGCCTTGTGTTCACAATACAAAATTTTAAAGAGAGACACATGAAAACATTTGATTATTTTATATGGATAATAATTTTTTATGACATGAAATTTATAAATGAATATTTCCTCAGAATCACATGAAATGGTGGTGAAGTTTTTTTTTTAAATGAAACGTGTAAAATGGTTGTTGCCGATTCCCATCTGTCATTCCACTGTTAAAACTTGGAAATAAGCTTTTTTTTTATTCTTTCTCTTTTAGAGTGTTAAACCTAGTTTTGTTATACAACTTAATGGTGTAAAATTACATTTCTTTTATACTTAGTTTATAAAAATGCCTAATGTATTGAATTGCCTTGTTTCTACATAGAGTTTTTCAGGTTACAATAACATTTAATTTTGTAGAAATAGTTTACACACACTGGGTAATATTATATAAATTATATAGTGGTAAAAAACATGAATTGCTAGGATACATGTGATTTTACCATGAATATATGCATATGATAAGAGCTAGAGGAGGCCTATGCCAGGATGCACGCCGAATTGCAAGACATAAAGCATCGAAATTAAAAATATGTGTCGACAAAGTTGTAGTGAATTCGGTATAAAAGGGCTTTATTATTATATGCATGACACCTAGTAGTCTACAAACTAGTTGGTGTTCATAACTATATTCATATGAAGAAGTCAAAACAAACAAATTCTATTAAATATAGCTTTGATTGTCTTTTAATGTATTTTGTTTGTTTAAAAACCAATGAAAAAGAAATTTACAACTAAGGAATTGCTATACTTGAATGTAAAAATGTTTTATCTGTTAATATTTTATCTAATTAAAATATCTTATTTGAAATTGTTGGAGACGTTAGTTTATAATAATATAGAAAAGGTAAAATGTTTCAATAAAAACTGGTCAAGTGCGAGTCAGACTCATGCACTAAGGGTTCTGTACCATTATCTATAATAAACTAATTGGTAAGTACCTATAGGTTGCCTAGCAACCGCCTGGCGTTTGTTGTATGGGAGCCACCTTAGATATTTTTATTTTATGTTTTTTTAGTATTTGCTGTTCTAGAGACAATAGAAATACATGATATGTATTTTAACTGTCTAACTATCATGGTTCATTAGATACAGCCTGGTAACTGATGAACAGTAATAGGATACCGTTTTACCCTTTGAGTAAGGAACCCTTAAAATGGTAAACTTTTTAATGTATTAGCAAAAATTATTTAGTAATATCAGTTTATCCATAGATTTCCATTTTTGCAACAGGCCACCAAGATTGACAATAATGTAACGGCATAGAGACTTTGTATAAAAATAATACTGTAATGTTTTGCATGTTTAATGCAATTAAAGAAATTGAATTCGATAAGGACTTACCTTATCGAATCCAATTTCTATCATTTTTAGTACTAGTCTAAAAGTTACTAATGGTAAATTGCGGTAGCGTTGGTAGTTTTCGTTGTAAGCGTTACATGAATTAAGTCTAATAGATAAGTATTTCTGAAAGCACTTCAACCTTATTTTTTATATTCAATGATCATATTTTTTATATTCAATGATCTTATTTACTATCTGAAACTTAAATATTTAAATAATATGAAATTTATATATTTTTACTTTTTGTATGCCAACCTTGGTATTTTCTGTGCCGTTTGCTACTGGTAACACTTTCGTGTGACGTCACGTTAAATAAGTTGACGTGATAAAATGGCTTTGTGTGCATTTTTATAATAAAAATGGTATTAAGGCCATTTTGTTTGTGACAAAATGCCCTTAAAGAATTTTTGTTATAATTACGACTTATAAAGATAAAAAAATGGCTTACCTCAAGAAGCAATATAGGATAAATGCGAAAGACGATGAATACACAATTGTCCGGAGGATAGGCGGTGGAAGTTTTGGAGATATTTACTTAGCTGTTAATCGTGTTGAAAAGGTACAAAAATACTTATTTGAATCAAATTTGTTTACTATGAACATAATTAACTTAAACTTATTTTATATAGCAAAAGAAGTTTTAGTAGTCGTTTTTGTTCCGAAACGTTTTAAAACTTAATACATTTACGAACGACATTGGCACATTCTGTAGTTATTCATTACTAGAAAATCGCGTAATTTGTTAGTAAGATGTATCATACTTGCTTAAATTGGTCATCGTCTCTTGTTTTTTTAGTGTCACATGAAGTAACGTCGATAACATATTACAATTTGAACCTTTTTTTTTGTTTGCCCCAAATAAATAGTATAAAATCAAGGCCAGATTATGCGTTATTAGATTTAACTGTATTTGCAGCGCCTTAAACATTAAATTGTAATAGATTTATGTATTATTTGTAATGTTGTAATAATAAAGTGTAACAGTTTCTTCTTGTGAATATTACCTTATTATCATTTTTATCTAACTCCAAAAGTTAATATCTATTTATTCAGATTTTGTACAATTGTTTTATATTGTAATTACCTGTTATGAAGTAATTGTTATCACTATGAATTTATCACCGATTAATATAGCTCAACTTTTATAAGACTTTTCATAAGCTCTGTGATATGATGTAAAAATAATGAAATTTAGTTCTGTTAGCATATTAAACTGTTTTGGTTTTTAAATTGATCCAAAAGCTATTTGTTGAATGTAAGTTCAATTTTTTTAATTTTGTTAGAGGATTTTCATTGCATATCTAGTAAACCTTCTATATCTACTTGGCTCCGTAAAGCAATGGTTCCATGAATACTCATGCTTGTGATTTTTTTCCTAATACGATGCATAGATAGAATTATGATAGTATTTAAAAAAAATACATTCACAATACTTGATAAATCAAGATTGTGTGTTAATATCAGCCTGACTTTTGTTCAACATATTTTATTTAACAATAAATTTTAATATAAATATGAACCATATACACAATGAAACGACCAAATTATTTGTAAAGTTATAAAAATAAAGTTAGAAAAGTGTGTGTTTTTTTTAAGTCTTAATTTTATTAGTCATCATATGATTTTGTAAATAAAATTGTATACATATAATTTTGTGATACATATAGAATATACAGTAGGTGATAAGATTTTGACATGTTGTTATTTTTTGTTGCAGGAGGTAGCTGTAAAAGTAGAATCTATTAAGGCCAGACACCCACAACTCCTCTATGAGAGCAGAGTATACAAAATTCTCCAAGGCGGCATCGGCATACCACATATAAGGTAATGTTTCTCTTAGCTTTGACCATGTGATCTTGGACTAGACACATTGCTTGTATTTTCTTTATAAAAGGAAATGACTATAAGAAAAAGAAGTGAAATAATGTGTTTTAATAATGATTTAATTTATACAAGCTTTAGTTGCAACATTTCTCACTAACAAAAATATTATTAGATTATTATTTTGCACATGAAAGCGTAAGAAAGAGAATTTTGCATCACTGATGCAGCTCACTGACATATTACTCCTCTGATGACTACAACAGATGTTGATTTTAATTTGAGAAAGTGGTATATTTCCAAGTGGTTCATTTGAGGGTATCATGAACTTATGGACATCCATAACAAATATGGAGCTTCTTCTGCCAACCTAAAGGTTAGGGCCTCACCCGCCAAACATAACTCAAACCACACCTGGTCTATTCATGCAACACCAAAAGTTGGTGCATGATTCTATCAACATAAAGTATCAATTTATGTGTGACATATTCATGACTAGTCAATAGTTTAAGCTGTAGGTTTGTTCTTTTATGATGTAATATAATTTTAACTAATCGCAACATTACCTCAGATGTCTTTCCTTTAAGCACTGTCTACTTCATTAAGATTAGTTGTTATGCAACTAGTGTTAATGCACTCTTTCATTGTTTAAAACCTGAGGGTTGTTAGGGATATTTTTAATAATGTTTTAAGTATCAAACTTGTGTATAAATTTCTAGCTTTTTACAAGCTAAGTGCCCGATATCTTTTGTGTAGTCTATGGACTAAAAGCTAAATTAATCATCAATAGTCATTATTGTTTTAAATGATTGAACATAATTTAGTTTGAAAAGATTTCCTTTCTTTTCCAGATTTCGTCATCCATACTTTTGTCTTAAGATTTTTAAAAGCATTAGTAGTTATGGAAAAACAGAACATTCATTTATTTGGTTTCCTAGAATATTATTCGTCTACCTGGCATTGCTTCCTTTCCTATAATTATTTCATTATGACACTAATACTACTAGTTTTCCAGTTTTGTAAGATTACATTCGTTGTAAAAAATTGTGCAATTATATTGGATTCTTTATGTTTAATATACAATCTTAACCATTTCTTAAATACATATGAATAATATGAACTATTAAATAAAAATACAGTTGTATTTCAGAGGACCTTAAGAGTCACCCTTCTGCATGGATCTGGAAAAAATTACTAATGAACATAAACTATTACAAAAGGTGATGGTTGTCCATAGAGTTAAAAAAATAATAAATCCATAGCACAAGCTACGATGGCGATTACGTAACAGTGGTTATTGCATTTGGGCCGTACATAATAACCTCAATTTTAATGAATTTTTCATACTAGTTGGTGCTGCAGTGACATAGAGAAATTAATTCTCTATATGAGTTTTCTGAAGTAATGTTATATTATGCTGGTCAGGAATATGAATGGCACAGCTCTGTACCTTTAAAAATTAAAGAGAAAAGATAAGATTATATTAAAGCCTATTACAAGGTCTTCAGTTAGAATTAAAATGACCTAATCAAACACATGCTAAAGTATAACCTTTTGCATATTTCTAATAAACTGACGCCCGGTTTCTGAAACACAGATCATCGTAGATGTCAACTAATCGGCTGTCAAATGGATTTCAAATTACAATTTAGGTACTAAAAAGATGGTTAAACTCTCTGAATTGACCAGAATGATCTTCTTTATGATCAGAATGATCAATTCAAAGAGTTTAAACATCTTTTTGGCAACTAAAATGAAATTTGAAATTCATTTGACAGCTGATTAGTTGACATCTGCGTTGATCAGTGTTTCAGAAACCGGGCGTTAGTATATTGAAAAAAGCGAGCGTCCGGACAATGAGCTATCACGGCTTCTGATGGATGTGCGAATATGTACGTATTTTGGAAACAAACTTGTTTGTAATACTGAGTTCCCATAACTCGCTTGATCAACGTAGATTCGCGCGTCGCGACAATATAGACTGGTTCAATATAACGCTAGTAAGAGTACATCGCAATGTAATTGGTTCAGTCGATGTTTCGTTGAATATTGTGTGTTAAAATTAGAAATGCCAATTCTGATACGACCTGCGTGTATGAATCACGCGTATTTATTGACTAGCCGATAGGGACATTTTATGTGCAGAGGGAAAAGTATAAAAGAGATCTTAAGCAAAAATGTAAAAGAGATCTTGCTGTTTCATGTTTCTTCAAACTAATTTAAACTTTTATTTTATTAGGGATAACAAACAGCTACTACAACTGGACAGACCTGCCCATTCATGCAACAGCGAAGCCTGTTGCGTGGCTCTACCACAGTCGTAGTAATAATATATATATATATATATATATATATATATATATATATATATATAATATACAGCCCAGTACATTACCCACGTATTGGACATGTAATATAATAAAGTGGGCTTAAATACGTTTTCGTTATCCATACAACATTTCTAGGCTCGAATCTAAAATAACAAAAAAAAACCGACTTCAATCAGAAAATTAAAAACATTGTTATTACCTATGCCATTCAATGATGGCCCTCGAATTTCTCTGGGATGCCATCATCAGATCCGGGTTTCCTTTATAATAGTACCACCATTGGGATATCTCCTTTCCGACAAATAAAGAATCGTCAAAATCGGTTCATAAACGACGGAGTTATCCGTGAACACACACATAAAAAAATATATATATACGGTCGAATTGAGAAACCTCCTTATTTGAAGTCGGTTAAAAAAAGAATATGCTTCTTGTAAATTCGACCACTTTGTGCTAACATTATTTATCCAGTGTTGTAAGTATCACCACACACACCACCTGGTCACAAAAATATTTACCCACGACCGGATCTTGGCTTTTAAGCTGGAAGCTAGGTGCGTTTAGTATGTACTAAGCTAGTGCGTACAAGTTGATAATCCTAACTACCTAATATTATAAACGCGAAAGTTTGTATGTATGGATGGATGTTTGTTACTCTTTCACGCAAATACTACTGAATGGATTTTAGTGAAACTACAATAATATAGCTTATACATCAGAATAACATATAGGCTATAATTTATATACTACATACTTTAATGCATATCTCTCTTTCTGTCTGAATGTTACGCGTTCAGCCTATTATATGCAGACGTAGTCGCGGGCAGCAGCTATTATATAATAAGCTAGTGCGTACTGATAGAAATTTGTATCAGTTTGATAATTATCATCGGTTGTCCGTTCTGGCTTCCCACGCCGCCGCCGAAAAGACCACAAATTCAAATATCTTTGTTCAATATGGAAACATTACACCTACTTATTGATTGTACCGGTTCGGAAATAAATCCACAAACCTGAGAAGAACCGGCGAAAGAAAGTCAGCGGGGCAATTTTTTTTGTATCATTATTTGACAAAGAAACATGTTTACAATATATTAAAGTCCATTTGAAATAGCCTGGAGCAATCAATCCATGTGCAGTTTGTTATCATTTAAATAATCACTAATATTATAATAGCCAGACGACGTATTTGTTTAGATTGTGCATACCGTTCTTGTAATTTCTAATGACCGATATCAGTTATGCGTTATACAGTTGAAATTCAAATATTCATTGGAAATACCAAAAACGTTAGTAGTAGGAATGTATAGGTAAGGAGCAATGTCTCACATGGAGAACAGAAATAAGTGTCCAGCTGTAAGCAGTAAATAACATTTCTAAATCCCAAGAACAAGACAATATGACCATTTACGTTGTTGAATTTTAGTAAATAGTTACAACGGTAACTACAATTCACCAACACTGCCCTAATACCCACATGCTACCGTAACGCCATCATTCGGGCGGTTCTCACCGCCCCCAGCCACCGATTAGCTAAAAACACAGTCGACGGCCATCGGGGTCCCGGTCCGAACCGCAACCTTGATAGCCCTTAGATGACATACCATAGTTAAACGCACGCATGAGCACATGCGCGGCCCTACACAGCGGAGGGCCCAAACCTGTGGGTTCTGGCTAGCCCACCGGTTCTGCGTCAGATGAAGCTTTAATAGTCTCGGGACTGAAAGCAAAAACATCAGTTAATACAAGATAACGCCATCACTTAACGTCTTTCGACTGACATTTTTTGTACACAGAGACTATTCTTCATACGTCTATCGTCCATGGTCAGTAAAGAAATCGGAAATTCCAGGCTGGAAAAAATGGGCAATACTCAATTCATCTTTGCGCTTAGGGTTACCAACTGTTTGAAAAATAAAGTATCACATTTTTCAAGTAGAGAAAAATAGAGAATAAAGACGAAAAATAAAGTATTTTTCAAAATTTTCAAATTTATTAAAATTCTTTTTTCAACAAATTTCTTTCTCCTCTTGAAGATATATTATTTTTTAAGCTTCCTTCTCTCTTCTCACAGTTTTTCACTATACTTTAATTTTTGGAAGCAATCTTTTCCGTTCCCAATTTAAATTTAAAGTAACATTTTATTCTGGTTTTAATGTCTGTTTCTGTTTGCATCACAGTAATGATTGAAAATAGATTATTTTTACAAACTTTATTTTTATGCACATGTATAAAGTATATTGACCAAAAATAAAGTAAGATACGTTATTATAAAGTATGGCTGGCAACCCTTCACATAATTGTGATACGTAAATTTTAACGTGCCTTTTCGTTCGAAAGTAAGAGTACTTTGAGAAAAGCAGCGCATTTGTTGACTAATCGAATATCGGCCCACATCCATTACATACATTTGTACCAACATTCTAATCCTAACGCACAATCCTTGAATATCAAGTGCGGATATTCACGACCGCAGCGCTCGCGCTGACCTCAATACCTGGTCACAGAGCAAGGTTTCGGAGTCGAGTCGGCCGGATGATTTTTTTTTATTTTACGCTGATAAATGTGTCGTATTAGCCCTCGACTATCGGTACTAGATAAATGATAAACATACTTACACACACTTTTCTTTTGTAAATAAATACATATTATAAATATAGAAACACCCAGACACTGGAAAAACACTGTTCATCACAAAATATTTTCCCAGTAGTGGGGATCGAACCCACACTCTCTGGCGCAAGAAGTACGGTCACTGCCCACCACGCCAGTCGGTTCGTCGTCAGGTTCGAATCGCGCAGGGCCGGAAGTTTTTCTACAATTTATCCATTAGACTCGCCTTCCGAATGCACCATGTCTTCAATGACTCATTTGTCAGGAGCCGAATGGAAAATCAAAAATGCCCTTTGTCGCAGATGGTACGGTTACGAGAAGGACCACAACATCCTCGTGATGGACCTGCTAGGTCCGTCTTTGGAGGACCTCTTCAACTTTTGTTCGCGACAGTTCACCATCAAGACTGTTCTCATGTTAGCGGGTGAGTGATTATACAAAATCATATATTGATTACAGTATTTTAACAGTTTTAGGACCACGCGACAGTGTTCACTGTTGCACGAATGTGATGGTACGTCCGGGTACCACGAAGTGACAGAAGACCGTCGTAAAGTAGAAGTGTTACACTTCTGCTTTTCGTCTGGCGAATGAGGTAGCCTGGGCCCACTTTATTTAAAGGTGACAACGTATTTGCAAAACCCTACGGGTGTTGTAAATTTCAATGGGCAGCGGTTATCACTTAACAAAAGGTGAACCGCCAGCACGTTTGCCACTTTCTCACATAAAAACAAATATTTCTCATTAAATTCCATACAGCTTCTTGACCGAACGGTGTCCATTCGTACATCAGCTAAGACTGTTGCGTGGCCGTACCACAATTTACAAGAGTAAATTCCTTGAAATTTAATGCTTTTCTTTGTCGCTTCGCTCAACTTAAAACCTCAACTAAACGGATAGATAACAACTTCTTCAAAACCACTAGCCGCAAGACGTACACCGTTGAACAAATGTCACCCTTCGAACGCTTATCGCGTTACATTTGTTGTTTGGGTGACTTTAACAGAAAAAAAGATTGAAACCTTTTAAAATATTAGGCAAAGGCATCTGGCAAGCCCACAGGCGTAGTAGATGACCAAGAGCGGTATTCTCTAAACGTCAAGCATACTGCCTGATCGCTTTTTATTTTTTTTTATGTGAGGAGGTAGCAAACTGGCTGGCGGCTCACGTCATGTTAAGTGATAACCGCCACCCATGGTAGGCTTGATAAGGCGTTGCCACCTTTTAATAAAGTGGCCCCGGCTGCCTCGCTCACCGGACGAAACGCGGAAATATTCACACTCCACACTTCCACTTCCACTTCACGCCGGTCTCCTGCGAGGTCGTGGTACTCACCAGTAGATCCCGAAAGTCGAAAAATATATCAATGTACCGATATATTGACATTCATAAAAATATCAATATCGGTTTAGATATATCGAAAAAAAATTCGATATATCGGATTAAAATGTATCGGCAAAAATATCGATATATTTAAAAAAAAATCGATATTTTTTCGGCATTTTTACTCACCCAGTACGCACCATTCTCAATGCTGCGTGGCCCTACCACAGTCTGTCATCACAGTTGTCGCCCGACAACTCGCACAAACCTGCTTTCCACCAATACTAGCCCTACGCGTGAGGCCGACGCCCGCTGAACTTCGCCCGCTTCCCAGATCAAATGCTCGGCCGAGTGGAGTTCGTGCACTGCAAATGCTTCATACACCGCGACATAAAACCTGACAACTTCCTTATGGGCATCGGCCGCCACTGCAACAAGCTCTACATGATCGATTTCGGCCTGGCGAAGAAGTTCCGGGATCTCCGCTCGCGCGTCCACATCGGCTACCGCGAGGACAAGAACCTGACAGGTTTGTCGCGTTCACTCTGTCGCCCCCGCCTAGTCCGTATCAACTCTCTCTTTCACACTTGATATTATGCGGCCGGTTTCAATATTCTAGCTACAGACAGATTTTGTTACTAGCGATAGATAGGTATTTGACGTTAGCTTCGTAATACTTAAGTCTAAAATTGTAACTCCAGTAATCAAATCTATCCGTAGATCGAATATTGAAAATGCCCGATAGTTCTTAATCTGGAAGCCCCGGGTTCGATTCTCGCAGTGAAAGAATTTTCGTCTATTGTTGTTACAAACTTAAATGTTTCGCTTTAAGTGCATAGATTGGCACTATATGAATTTAAATCGTCATTCAATCAATCAGTCGTGTAATCTTGCACACATTTGATGAGTCCGTGCAGAATGACATCTGCCAAGGTTTGATAACTTTGGCGCCTGGGGTCGTGGGTTCGATTCCCATACAGGATAAGTATTAAATTTGTCTGACTCATGGATAATTGTTTCGGAACTGAACTTTTCACCAAGTGAAATTTTTTATGAAAAACGTCAATTCAATACGGGATTATGTTATCCGATTAAGAGCAATGTTAAAAAAAGTACATTTTTAAAACATGTTTACAAACTTCTTTAGTCGGGCATTGATCATTTACGAAGGTTCAACATCGTGGTTCATCCATACTCGAAATTTAGGTTGGCGCACGGTTGTCACGGGTGTCTCTTTAGGCTGGGACGTAAAACATGTTTGCTTGAATTATCACATTTATAAAGTAAGGTAATGCAGGTTGAGAAGTTAACCATTTTACCTATGCTTTTTTTCTTTCTAAGGCGGACTAAAGTTGTCTAAAATGTGACAATAATTATCGTTTTGATCGCGATGTACGCAACTACATCAGTTTCTTAATTAACGCCATTTGATAAATCCCGCTAAGAAGTCCCTAATCAATTTTATCAATGCCGCTAAGAAGTCCCTGGTTGCGTGCGGCCTTTGACGAAACACTCCCATTTCCAACAGGAACCGCGCGCTACGCCTCCATAAACGCCCACCTCGGCATCGAGCAGTCGCGCCGCGACGACATGGAGTCCCTCGGCTACGTGCTCATGTACTTCAACAGGTGAGTCCCGTTGCGGGTTCGAACCCGGGCAGTGCGCGACCATTGCTTATGCGGTACGTGCTCCGGCCACTGTACCCGATGGTATCCGGGTCATAAGTCAACTTGCGCCTGTACTGTCTGTGCCTACATCAAAGTAAAGTAACAATCTATCTATTCGTAGTATGGTCATAAACTATTTATGTCCCCCTGGTGGGAAAAGGCCTGATGCCTTAGGCATTAGAGGGTATTAAGGCATTGGTCCACCACGCGACCCCACTGCGAATTGGTAGAGTTCACGTATTTTCGAAATATATTTTTTTCGAAAATTGCACGTTTCCTTACGACGTTTTCCTACACAGTTAAGCGAGTGATAAATCAGCACTTAAAATTAAGAATTTCATTGGTGCTGGCACAGGGATTTAAATTAGGGTTGCTCGAGTGTATTGAATTAATAGCGAGCGCCCGGACACTGAGCTTTCACGGCTCTGTACAATTAAACCGGTCGCTAAATCTCGGTTTCCATCAAAATGTAGTAACAACTTATTAATGCCTCCCCCTACTTGGCAAATGCCTTTATGCAGAACCATGCGAGCTCACTGTGGATTGGCAGACTTATCATATATTTGAAACAATACAACATATTTTCATTATTTCAATTAAAAAAAAAAACAATCCAGATTTCCTCACGACTCTATCTTTCACCGCGGAGCACGCGACAAGTCGGAACTTAAAATTGCATTTAACAATTCCATTGGATTAGAACTTTATTTTATCGTCTCAAATTAAAACCGAGCACCTGATTACTGAACCGTCACGTCTCAACCACGGTTTGAGTTAAAACGCGTTATTATGTCACTAGTGGCAATTACATCTATACTTAGATTGATGTCGGTTGTTTGTCCTCGTTCAATTCATGTTTTAAAAACGTCCTTACAACACATGATAATATTATCCTAAAGTGAGGGCAATGTTTTAAACAAAACTAAAAAAAAAATGTGTTAATGAAAGGTTGGCAGCCTCTGCATGTCGTTGGCCCTATATCGCTTTACATAGTCATAGCACTCGTGGAAATTCACCAATTAATTGGCAACGGTGACTGACCACTTGACACAACACGCGATTGTGTGATTCACCAATGTTTACCAGAAAATAACCACGCTATCCGTGCTCGGTGTACTAATAAAAACAGTTCTGCGCAACATTTGGCACGTCTCTAAAATATTGTTGAATTGAACGCGTTTCGTATTCAACTTGAGGTAAGGATGATTTTTTATATATTTATATAGAGCCCAATATCCGCACTAAGTGTGTAGAGTTCGCTACAGATACGCAATGTGGCAACCGGTTCTAAATAATAAAAAAAAACTAAAAAAAATATGTAGTACACTCGAAATTTCGAAAATATATTACTTTTTAAATATAATAATGAATACACTAAGAAATATTTGTTACTTACAAAAACAAGTTTCTATAAACTGGTAGAGATATTGAAATTGGTGCAACAAGCTGAAGGACTTTGGTATCTTTGTAAACGACATTTTTTTTTTTTTTCAAGTAGAATACTATATAATTATTATGGTACTGTTGGCAACCCTTGGCATACAAACAATCGATGAATACATTAATCAATATTTTTCTTTTTCAGTTTCTTCCTTTGCCAGTAGTTTTTACGAAACAGTTGAAGCCAGAGGGCGTGCCAGTGCACAGGAAATAATTTTATAACTTTCTTTGCTTCTAAATAAACACCGAACCAAGCGAGACGTAATATCGATTAAAGCTTTATCGGCGACTGGTCCCGACTTGTCGCGACCCGTCCTAACCCGTCGCGCGTCACTATCGGGACCGGTAATGGAACGGTATTCCCTCCTCGCGCTCGGGTCACCATCACTCGGCTTTAGCGTGGACGTGTCCTGATTTTTATGTGTAGTTTTATTATTTCGTAAAAGATAAGCTCTCAACTCGAAAGTCTGCTGGGGATATTCGGAGATGTTGTACTTCTCTGTGGATGATTTTCGCAATTTCTTAATTTAATATTTGACTAGCTGCCCAGACAGACTTCGTTTTTTTTTTTACGTATTAAAACCTTCCGTGGACCTTGAGGAACAAAAAAAATAGCCAAATTGGTCCAGCCATTCTTGAGTTATGCGCTTACCAACATTCATTTTTATTCATTAAGACGATTATTATAGTTAAATCAGTTTTTAGTCTTATTTCATATTGCATATTACGAACCAGAACCGTATTTATCCCTTAATGTTATGGTAACCCTACACATGCTTGGCTATAGGCTAGGGCGCTAAATGTTCAAAGAACCGTTTCAGAATTACGAGGGAACCAAAAGTTATCCTGACTCGTATTCGTTGTCTTATTTTAGCGACGTAGATTGACCGATATCCTGGTAACTACTGATTAAATTTGACTGATTAAATTTTATTATTATTTTATTATTTCATTATTTCATGTCATAGGCGTAGTAAGCCTATAAAAAGCTGAGGACGGAGGAAATTCCGAACGTTGCAGTCTTCCATCTTTTTTCGATCACATAGTCTAACCGATTCCCATTTAAAAAGACACGCGATGGACGTAAAATGTAAACTAGCTTCGTGATCGACCTGTTGCCCGACCCCTTTTGAATGATGATTCATTCATTAGTCGCCCAAAGCGATAAGATCGAACTAATTTTTTTTATGCGAGAAGTCGCCAAACGTGCAGGCGGATCCTGATGTTAACTGATTACCGCCGCCCATGGACATCTGCGTACCGTCGGGGGTTTGTAGATGTGTTGTCAACCTAATGAAATGACGGCCCCGGCTACCTCACTCCAGACGAAACGTCAAAGTATAATACTTCCACTTCAAGCCGGTCTTCTGTGAGGTCACGTTACTTCCCCGGACGGACCAGCCCATTTGTGCACCACTAGATACTGCTGCGTGGCCCTACCACAGTTTGGTATTAAAGGGTTATAGTTAAAAGTTGAAAAACGTAAGCATAACGTAAACGTTAAATAATTATTTACCGCGTTTTTATTCTGTTCGTGTATCGGCACCTTTGCTTTTGAATGTATGCAGCCATGGGCCGTAACGGTGCTTTTTTATATCACAGGGTCACAGGCCCTATACAGCTAGGGCTGCCACCTTTTTTTTTAGAAAAATAACGTATCGCATTTTACAAGTAGAGAAAAAATATTTTTAAGAATAAAAATAGTAATTTTAAAAATTGAATTAATTTTATTTATTTATTTTTTATTTCCACTCGTGAAGGCTTATTTTTGTGTGCTTCTAGCACACTGACAGGTGAGTATTTAAGGATAATGAAAAATGAAAGTCAAGAAATAGAGTATTTTCACATACTTTATGCAAAATTATAAAGTGTATTTGCTAATAATGAAGTAGGATGCGTTATTATATATAATTATGCGTTATTATATAGTACGGTTGGTAACCCTATATACAGCGTACCGCGGAAGACGGCGCGTGACTCATTGATGCGAACGCCGTAGAGTGTATATTGATTCATGTTTGGGAAAGAGCATTGACTGCTCTTTATGCGCTCTATCAATTCGCGATGATTTTTTTTTTATAAGTTATATAAATTATACTTCTTTGGGCACGTTTAAGAATTTGTAGTTGAATTTTTACAATGCGCGACACCGAAGTCATATCGTTACCATTGGCAACCTTAAACAAACTTTTGGCATTTACCTATATTTCCATGTTATTTAATTAAGTCGCTATCATTTTTTTTTTTTTTTTTTTATTTATTTGGTTTACCAGCAATTGTTACATTTATACATTCATTAGAATTAGTACACAGTATATTTCTATAGCTAAATGCACAATTAATTAAAGGTAAACACCACATGCGAAGTATCAAGTAACACCAATAAGCTTAACAATAACAAATGTGTACAGAATACAATTTAAAAAAAAAAAAAAAAAGGTAGTGAAAAAGAGTTTTTTTAAAATTTTTGAGACTTAATTAAAAATATATATGCTATACGACTAATCTACTCATCGACAATGGTTTCTTGCAAGTGCTTACGAAAGGTATTGAGACTAACAGCATGAATATCAGTTGATTTTCCGTAATTATTCAAAAGTCGGCTCGCTCTGGGGACAAACGAGCTTGAGCCCAATACTGTTGTGCGTAAAGGTGGAACCAATGGTTGGATTTGGGTTCTAGGTAGCTTATTCGGTACATTGAATCTAAATTTACTTAACAGATTAGGACAATCTATTTTATTGTTAAATAATTTGTTTAAAAAGATAAGATCAAGCTGTGTTCTGCGATTTTCTAGTGAAGTATATTTAAAATTTTTCAGCCTATCTTTGTACGAAAACCCCTTCCTACATTGTTTCGAAGAATGAGCTAGATGCCAGAGATATCTCTTCTGTATTCGTTCTAACCTCAGAGAGTGACATGCATAGTGCGGTCTCCACACAATACTACAGTATTCCAGAATGCTCAGGACAAAGGAGTTGTATAGTAGTCTTTTTGTTTCTAGCCTCCGGAATCCCCTTCCAATTCTAATAAGAAATCCAAGCATATTAGAAGCTCTTTTTATGACATTTTCTAAATGGGCTCCAAAGGTTAACTTTTTATCAAATATCACACCCAGATCTTTAATGTATTCAACTTCTTGTATCCTTACTCCATTAATATAGTAACTAGATTTAATAATTTTGAATTTTCTAGAGAATTTAATATAAAAACATTTACCCACGTTTAGTTGCATTCCGTTCAATTCACACCAGCGTGACAAGCCATTTAAATCTTCTTGCAATAGTAAGGAGTCAAACTCAGTATTAATTATTCGTAATAATTTCAGATCATCGGCATACAGGTATGGAACAGAATTTGAGATATAATCAACAATGTCATTAATGAAAATATTAAATAAAATAGGACCCAAGTTAGAACCTTGGGGTACACCCGACTCTATGTTATACTCCCTTGATTTAAAACCGTTAACTACTACAAAAAATTTACGATTTTTAAGGTATGAGTCAAACCAATTCAGA